ACGAAATATACAAAATTATTGACAAAAATCATTAAAAAACAGAACAATACAAAGAATTACAGTATTGTATTCTAAAAATATTATAAATGAGGATATGTATGAGGAAGCGTACACCAAAGTAAGGACTGCTGTCAGATTGACAGAAAGTTTTCTATTGACGTTGGTTTGCATCAAGGCTCTTCACCGATTCCTTACCTGGTTCATCTTGTTATGGATGTAGTGACAGCAAAAATAGGGGAGAACTCCTTGGACAATGCTCTTGCCGATGATTTCATGTTGGAGGAGAAATTGGAGTGTTGTAGAAGGGTTATTAAAGAGGGAGGACTTAGGTTAGCAAGTCGAAAATGGTGTGTGTATATATGGTCGGAAGGAAGGGGAGTAGTTGGAGACATAAATTGTTTGGAAGAAAGCTATGAGTAGGAGAATGAGCTACGAGAGTAAGACTAAGGGACAAGAGCAAAAATGACTTGATTAGGTAAAAAGCTGGGGTGACTACAGTCTAAAAAAAGATTCAAGAAAAAAAATTGCAATGGTTTGGTCATGTTAGATGTATAGATGAAAACTATGTGGGACAAAGGATAGAGCTGTTAGAAGTTGATAGAAAAAGAGGTAGAGGAAAACTGAGGGAGAAAATGGAAGGACTGCGTGGCAGAGGATTTGAAAGAGAAATGTTAAGGTGTAGAAGACCCGATGTACAGAAATGAGTGCCTCCTGAAAAAGGAAAAGCTGTGGAAGAAGATTTGAGTAGTGTTTTGTTAGAATTGAGTTAATCTTGTGGTATTAAATACTTTTGGCTTATAATTTCTAATGATTCATCTATAAGAACATTCATTAAAAGTAAGACCACATTGAAGCTGACTAAAAAATATATTGGCTCAAGAGTAAGAGCTCAAAGAGTAACATCTTTTATGTTTGATAAAGTGGCTTGCATTCTCGACGTAAGAATCAGATTCTTCTGCTAGGACTACGAGTAGGACTTAACATACCTATATACATACAGGGCTAATCACAAGAAGCACTGCCGAGGACAAGTCAAGAGAAACAGTTTGAAAATGGACTATTTCAGTAACTGCTCTGACTGAGAGAGCCAGTTTACTTTAAGTCCCAGCAAGAAGTTCAAGACAATTGCAAGTGCAACCTTGAAGAAATGTCAAAACAATTACAATGTTCTTTGGTCAGTATCCAAAGACTGTGGGAATGGGCCAGTCAATATTCGACCCAGGCAGGGAACAGAAGCAGTAGATCAATATGCATTCCCAAATACTGGAAAGGACAGTGACCTCTGTTCAGAACTCAGAGACCCAGAAGTATGTTCACAGTGTTTTATACTTTTGGTCAGTATTTCATGTCCAGCACAAATTAGTAGTAGTGGTAGGTTGTTGGGTGGGAGTGAGAGAATACAGAGAGGGCCAATGACAGTGCCATCGTCATTAATGTAAGTGATATTACTTGTCTCTGTGAATTACCCTGATTTTTTTTATTTATTATAGATTAAGAATTTTTTTTACAAGACTCCATTGCAATAGAATGTGATTAAAAATTGTTTTGGGGAATTTTCCAATACTGGGCTTCTACGAACTTTTTCCAGACTAAGCAGCATTAGAGTGATCAGTGTGATAACAAACTAAAAGAAAAATATCAACTCAATTATTGTAAGTATGAAATATTTTTTAAATTAACATAGTACTAAACAGTAGTTGTCAATCAACAGATAAAAATAGGAACTTGGAATGCAAGAGGTACATAGAATGGAGGAGCTCAAAACAAGTGTCGACGGAATTAAGTAAATATGGGGTCCATATACTAGCATTACAAGAAACAAAATTGACATAGATGATTATCCATTTTAACAGTGGATGAGAAGACAAAATGTTTGATATATGTTTAAAAAAAAAAACTTAAAGATTTTAGGCCTATTTCAGAAAGAATTTGTAGTATAAGAATAAAAATGGATGATAGTTTTGTAAGTATTTTAAACCTGCACACACTTTTTTTATTTTTTATTTCACTAATTTTAGTGTGATTGTTAATGTATATTTTGTCTTCTCCAACAATTTTTTGCTTCGATTTTGTTTTCATACCTATATTTTTTTCATCTTGATAGTTTTTCTATAATTCTTTTACTAACTCACCTAGTATAGTAAATAAACTCACCTTTCGAGTTTATTTGGCACACCACCTATTTTTGATTGTTTATTTTCCATTACAATGCTCAATAAATAGAGTTAATTACAATAGAAAAACAAAATGTGTTGAGCCCTAATTAAATAAAATTACATTTAAAATTACTTACTGTATCCATCATCTTGTTCATTTGTATTCAAATATGAACAGAGTAAACTGATTGTGGTATTTCCTCTTACTAATTCTACTTTGAATGAAGGTTTGGATTTTAGTTCTCCAATATCAGGTTTATCCATATTTTCGTTTACCTCTGGCTCAACATCACTATCAACACTGTGATTTACATTGAAACTTAGTTTAATGCTAAAAAACAACATTACTTTTTATTTACAAAATATAAAAGCATGCAGGATGTTAAATTGTCAGATAAAAACATTATATCAGGTATTTTATAGCACTTATCACTTACTTTTCATCTCCTGCACTCTTTGTTAATATTATTTCTGCTCCATTTAGTTTTGCTTTAAATCCATCTAACTCTGATGGAATGGTTTTAATTTTTTGGGCTTTTCTTTCTGCTAAGATTTCTTCTGTCAAAAATTCAACAAGTTCTTTCTCAGCTAAAATGAATAAACGATTATTTTAGTTAATCAATAGAAATGGTTTATATAATTCTGACACAGAAAACTTTTTATTAAAATACTCTCATTACCTTTGGTATGACTGGCTCTTTTACTACTGCAACCACAGCTGCACAATTGAGTGTGCTCGACTTCTTTAACGATTCCATTTCTTTGGGAGTTACTCATATACCACAGAGTTCGAGCAATTTGCCTTTGCTGATTTATTGAAGACGTTATCCCATTTTTTATTGGATTCAACAACGATCTGACGCCATTCAGTCTTATTGCCACTTTTAAAATATTGTTCATGTTTGATAACAAATTTAGGAATGTAGCCGGCAAATTGGGAGATAAACTATCTTTTAATGGCTAAAAAATGTGCTTTTCCGGAACAAGAAACGCCTCTGCGCCTGCTTCAATAATGACGTTTGATGTATGTCAAGTTTGTCAAGATTTCCATCCCTCTGTTTAGGCAGCCATATATACCATTTTTAAAAGTAAAATACTTGCACGTCACGATTTATAGAAAGTGACGTCACTTGTATTTAAAATTTCCAGAACTTCAACCTAGTTCAAATTTTCCTAACAGAGCTAATAATACGAAACCTTTACGGAACTGCTCGATCTTTCATAGCCGTCAACATGGTTGAATAATCAGAAACATATAATAATTCTTATATTGGAAATTTTAGAATTATATTGATTAAATAACCAAAAACATTTATTATTATTAATAATATAAATTTTATAAATAACTCTTTAAGTCTAATATTTCACAAAATTATATTTTTAATTAAATATATTAGACAATTGTACGCAACTGATACGGAAATATATCAAATAATATTGACAGTTCAGCGGATGGTAAAAGTGTATTAAGTGTTGCCGCTTTTTTTAGAGTAGAAATTTTGTTTATGTTTTGAGGTCTTACACAATTTGATCATAATATAATATATATTTATAAATATTATATATGCCAAAATAAATAAAAGTCTGTAGAAAGCTGATAAGCTTTTATATGTATAAGATAGATTATTTTGAACAAGAAATAATGGCGGAACGTTTTTACTATTAAAGCCCTAAAAGAGGTAAGTTTAAAATTTAGAATATATAATTTTGTATTAAAATGGTTTTCTATGTATTTTAATGTGTTGCAGTAGTCTTAAAACTAAGTGTATTTACTATTAATATAATAGTTTGACAAATAGTTGACATTTTAAAAATTCCTCACTTACTAAAAATTATGATGTTTTGGCAATGCTGTGGGGTTCTGAAGACGTAAATCTTGAATGACGTGCAAGCTTTTTTGTCTGAAAAATGCTATATACATTGGTAATGATTTCAAGCTACAATTGGCAACTTCTCCCTCTCATCGTCTACGTCTCCACTATGGTCATTTATGTCAGTCACTTCTTGGTTGCCTATGTTTAATTTCTCAACAAAATCCTCCGCCCATCTCTCCACTATTTGATTCGGCTCATTGATAATTTTTTGGCTTCCTTACTTTTTATTATGTATTCTAGGTTTAAATCCTTTTCTGTTGTGGTTCACATTTTAATAAAATTTTCGCGCTTCGCTTTGTGAATTGAGCCTTTCTAGTTCCTGTAGCTGGTTTTCTAAATGTCGTTTTTTCTTTTGTTTTAGTATCTTTTTCTCTGCTTGTCTCATCTGTTTGTACTCCTCTTGGTTTTGTCTTGTCCTTCTGTTTTGGAGTTTCCCATACGCCTGATACCCATGTGCGCATTCTGCATAATACCATTCTGTCCTCTTCTTTTCTTGTTTCTTCTTTCCTACAACTGTTGTTGCTACTTCTTTCAGGATATTTTCGCACTCATTCCAGTAATTATCTATTCTACAAGCATAATTTTGTAAACGATAATAAAGGGCCAATACGAAACTTTTACTATTAAATACGTGTAAATCTAAACGAAGTCAGTAAATTTGTCCGATATTGATCATTATTCTGTTGAAAAGATATTGAAAATATAAAACAGCATAAATTATATTTCAGTCTAAAATACCTAAATGCCTAAATGCCTAAAATACCTATGGAAAATTTTTCTTTAAATTTAAACAAATTTTAAGGGTTAAAAAATTAAATTTTCAGTGATTTATAGATATGACGCTGGCCTATAATGGAATAGGTTAAATGTGTCAAAGAAAGATGCAGTATTTAACCACATATGTTTTAAATATATCAAAGATAAGCGAAAATAACATATATATTTATTATTAATAAGTTTATTATAAGTTTCTTGCTTCAAAAACTAAGATTACTGTGCTGGATTTAGCGTTAAAGTAATTTATCAATGGTTTCAATCTGAGTCGCATCTTAAAAACTGGACAGTGTAATTTTCTGGAGCTATTGTCATACCAGTTTTACATTCCATGGTCAATTCTGGTGTTCCGGGGAATTTATGTACTGAATAGTTTCTAATGATTTCCGAAAAAATAGTAAAAAGTGCACTCTTCGCTAAAACTTCCCCTAAACATGACCTTTTACCTAAAAACAAAAGAAATATCAATATGTATATATAATATATTTTTAATATATATATATATATATATATATATATATATATATATTATATATATATATATATATATGTGCAAGAAAAAAAAAGAAGTATTTATTTATTGAAAAAATATAAATATGTTTGTATGGGTTGGAGTCAATAAGAAGATAACTATTCTTTATTACTTAAGCTTTCAATTGTATTTACAATTATTTTTCACACCTAAAATAAAATGACAGTAAGTGGAACGAATATTTGCAAAAAAGTAGTAACTTACCAAATAAAATTAGGTTTGTTAACAAAATTGTGCTGCTCTACATATAGGTACTTAAAAAACATTATTATAAAATATCATTGGTCCAATAAATGTTTTTTTTTTCTTTTTTGAATTATTATTTTAGATAGGTAATCTTGAAAACATTATTTAAACAAAAATTATAAATGAATTAGAATAGCAACCAATAGAAAATTACAAATAACCCTAATGTCATGAATGCCAACTTCTAGTTTGTAGTTTAATTTATTTTTGACCATTATATATTTGCCGACATGAAAATTTTGTTAAATATTCTTTTGTAAAATAATTCGTAATGACGTTAGTAGTTTGCAGTAACAGTTTTTCTTTGATCTTTTGATTTTTATCTACTATTGATAAGGTTACATAATCTTTCTGAACTATATTATATACATACAGGGTGTCCGGAAGTTCTTCTGACAAACGAACACCTCAAGATGGCGCTATGTAATTAGTTTTTTTTTAAATACTTTCAGAACGGTTCTATTTAGAAAAACAAAAACTGGTACGATTATTTATCTTCTAGAGTAGAATTGATTCAATCAATTGCCAATTTCTTGTACCAATCATAGCCGCTTTGGGTAGGTCAACGGTTATTTTGTCGCACAACTTTTTTGTTTTTATCTTTTAAGCATTGGTGATACTAGATTCTTAGAATTTCAGGTATTTTAGAAATAAAAGGTACTCGTACTTTAAGTTGGTAAAATATACCGTTTTTTTAGAAAAATCAGTTTGAAATTTTTTTGATTTTTCGTCATGAAAGTTAAATTAATATTTTTTACACTAGTTGGCTTTGAACTACCAAGAAAAGTATAGCCTACTTTTTTTATTGTCAAATTGTTGTCAGTTTCCGAAGTTTATCTTTTAATTTTTTACTGTGTGGCATTTAAACACAACAATTTCAGTTCAACAAAAATGTTTTTTACGCTTATATGCTTTTAGTTTATGGCGAAATGATGTGTAACGCTAAAGCAGCACAACGTAAATACGCTGAAAATTTTCCCAATCGTGACCATCACACTCATTCAACACTTATAGCTCTTCATCCACATTAATAGATAGATCGATAGATAGAAACAGGTTCAGTAGTACGAGAAAATAAAGAAACAGGGCGACATTATGATGTAAAGGAAGCACATGAAGATGTTATTTTAATGGAAGTTGTGAAAAATCCAGAAATTAGCGTTTGAAAACTATCTGTCGTGTATCCCACAATTTTAAAATCTTTTGTAGGAAATATGTATCTTACACAAAATATATATATATATATATATATATATGTAAGGTTAGATAGATAGGTTAGATAAATGAAAGTAAAGAATGAATGAAACGGAAAAAACCACATACCTATACCAAAAGGCATGAAATACTCTGGATAGAAAAGGTTTCCATTGCTATTTAAAAACCTTTCGGGTCGAAATACTTCCGGATCTTTCCAATAGTCCTTATTATGGTTTACTGAATATATATTTATTAATATTGTCGTATCCTAAAATCAAATTAAATATCTAAAAGACATTGAACAATTAAGGGATATATAGAGCCAACTACTTACTTTAGGTATTGAATAGTTTTCTAAAACGGTATTTGTAGTAGCTCTTCTCGGTCCTGTGACAGGCATCACATGGTACATCCGTTGCACTTCGCAAAGAACTGCTTCAATGTAGGGAACCCTAAAAATGTGATTACATAATATTGTTAAATAATATTCTTCTTATGATGTCTATCAGTTACGGACGTTAAACACTAACATAAGATTTCCGATATTAGTAAAGTTAAAAGATTTTCGTAGGTTTAGCAACCAGGATAATATTTTTATTTATTATATATAACTATTTTTATCCAGAAAATTATCAATGTGTGTCTATTGCATAGCATTTTAAATGCTGCGAGTCTAGTGACGCTTCAGTTAATGTCCATGACTTCATCCCATATACAAGAACCGAGAATACGTAGCATTTGAAATGTGGTCTTGCCTTCTCGTTACTCATAATCTCATAATTTCCGTCGAATTTTGGCACTGGCACTTCAATTCGTAACCCAAATTATTATTATTATTTCTGTTTATAGCAGCTTCTTTTTCCGTTTAGAGAATCTGTGGTCCAGTATCGCTGTACAATACAAGGCATGAGTATTCAGCCATAGTATGAGAACAAAAATATTATCAACTGAAAAAGAAAATATTGGAGTAACTAATAAAGATGAAACTTTACTTCTCTTCTTCTTTGAGTGCCTCTCCTATCGGAGATTGGATATTATTATGGTGATTCAGCTGAACTTACAGCTGAGAATTAAGTTCCTAAAATGTTATGTGTATCCTGTATTACTATATGGATGTGAAACCTATATTAAGAAGGTTAACATTATGAATGAACGTCAAAGAAACTTTCAGTCAACAAAAATTAAAGTTTATTTTAATTGCTCTTCAACTCATGGAAGATTTAAGAAACTTATACGTAACAAAATCATCAATCATCGATCACCTGTTACTAATCAGAGTATATCAGAATTTGCCCAATTATGACTGGGGTCCCTCAAGACAGTGTTCTCGGACCAGTGCTGTACCTCATATGCACTGCGGACTTACCCACATTACCAGAAGTCACAACAGCAACTTATTTAGATGATGCAGCAGTAATATCTTCTCATCAACACCCAGCCTCAGCATCACATAGAGTACATGCTAACCTAATTGTAATACAAACTTGGTTAAAAAATGTGACGTTTACGTTCCAACGAGACAAAGTCTGCGTAGGATACATTTACCAATCGCATGGGAAACTGCCCTCTGGTATCGTTAAACGGTCAACTTTTGCGACTGAAAGACGATTAAATACTTGGGAATGCATTTGGATCGCAGGCTTACATGGAGAAAACCCATGGTATTCACCACTACTATATACAATTCGCTAAGGATTTCTGCTTAGTTGATAAGACGTGTCGTGGAATGCAAATTTTAGATTCCCCACGTCTCTTTTAACACCTTTATCAACGTCTGTTTTGTTTTGCAATTTTTAGAAAGCACAGATTAAAGCGGAAATCTGAATTGTGTTTCGAAACTATTTTACGGTTTTATTGTCAGATGTCGCTATTGTGTCCGTATTGAAGCCATTTTAGTGTTGCTGCTTAAAAGACAGAAAATATTGATCTTTCACGTTGAGAACACCTTTGAATAACTGTTCTGATGAGACCTAATAGGTCGAAATACGTATCAACAGATACAAAGGCGCTTTTTGCGTGAAATCAAATATTTGCTGTCTTTTCACTTTATTAATAAAGTTTAAAGTTATACATTTGTTTGTAAACAACTCACTGATATTTACAAACTTATATTAAAACTTACCTGTGTCTATCACTATAATCGATATGTTCGTCTTTGCTAAACGCCTTCCAAAGACATTTTCTGGATTTTTCCTGAACTTCTGGATGTACAATCATTGCAAAAAATACATAATCTAGTGTGCTAGTAGTAATTTGAGACCCCGCCAAAAACATGTCCAAGCACACCATTAACAACTGGTCCTCTACAAAAATAATACTTACAACAAATAGTACCAGAATTGTTAGATAAATACGTAACGTAACCAATAAAAAGCTGTTTTCACTTCACAAGAGTACAACTATTTAATGCTGAAAGTACCTGTGAACGTGCTGTCTGGGTCCTTATTGCTTTTCATCTCGGTTATAAAAGCATAAATTAAATCGTCGTTTCTTCCAGGAGTCCAATTTGCGTAGTGTTCGTTTACTGTTTCCAAAATTAGATCTTTTATTTGTGCATTTACGTGTTGGACCAAGTTATATCCACTTTTTTCAGGAGCTATAAACCTAAGCCATGGAAAAGGACTTAGCAATCCTCCTGCAATGTCAAACGCCCGCGTTCTTCTTTCAAGAATCTTTAATAACCTATTGGATTAACTGTATTAATATATTATATATGAGGAGCTGAGTATCAAAGAAGAACTAGTCCATTTTGTACTTTTTTCAGAAAAGCTGAAAAACTGTAGCGCCTTATATTCTCTACATCCAATTGTGTTTTTTTTATGAATATACTTTTAGCGTCTCTGAATACTTCTGAATAAAGAAAATGTAAATATATTTATGTTTTTCCCTAAAATCAATAAAGAAATTAGAGTTGTCCGATTTTGAAACTACATATTAATAAATAAGACTACCTTCAAATTCGGAACAATACATCGGAAAACTTCTACTTCTTTCTATTACAGTAATTAACGTGTTTTAGAGCAGGTGTTAGTGAACAACAAAATACGCTCCATCATAAATCTTTATTTAAAAAATTAAATTACTTTTAAGTAATAATTTAAGTAAGATCATTACAATACATTAAGGACTAAGTCGTAGTAAGTTTCATCCCGCAGGTGCTCACATTCGCAGGATTCTCCATAGTCATCCTCTTCTTGATTGAAAGCATCAATTTCAGCAGTTGCTTCATTTGATGAGCTGATAGATGTATCACTGTTAACATCAGAATACCAACGCAAACGTTCCAACTCTTCTCAATTTCTTCGGATTTACTGAACAACCCAGAGTAATTGGAGCTGGATTAATTTATGAAATAATTTTTACTTTTTTTGTGATCGACAACAGCTTGCCAATGTCTGAATTGTATGCCAGCTCTCCTGCAACCAACACGTTAGTTTTAGCTTCATTGCGAACAAAACGGAAATGTTTGCACTTGGAAACGTCAAAGTGAACAGCCTGTGCGGTTTTTAAAAGATTTTCAGCTTCATCTTTCCAATTTAGCGCAGTCCAATTCTCACCTAGTTTTTTTTTACTTTTCCATATTTGGAAAACACCTCCAAGTACTCTGACACTTCAATTATCGTTGTCAGTTTCTTAAACTCTTGCTCCAGCATACCAAAAACTCTGTCCGCTGGAAGAAAAGAGTGACCAGTTACCGGGAATACAAGTTCTAAATATTCCAAATTATTAGGAGCATAGTTATTTAACCAAAACTCGCACATTGCTAGTACACTCATGTTTTTATTTTGGTTCACACAACCATCAACAACCAAACGAACCACATTAATTTCTGCAAGATCTCTATTTCTGGTTTTTTAAAGCTCGTTAAAAATAGCTTAGGCAACTTGGTTGGACGATTTTTGCATGTCGTTTTTACACCATGTATAAATTGAGACAGAGTCTTTATTCAGTGAAGTTGATGAATTACCAGAAATGACAGCAAGATTATAGCAGTACAGCTGTTGACTGTAATATGCCATTTGATCAGGTACTTTTGAAAGTGGCAAATTTTTTTGCATGTCGAAAGAGATTATCAAGAGTCCATTTCTTTGCTCTCGTATATGGTCAAAAAATGCTCGAGCCTGCATTTTATGAAGCTTCTTTTTGGTTTCCCATGCATTAACCATATCTTTTTTCTAGTCCTTTTTTTGTGTAGCTTGTTTTACTCTCTCTTCAAACTCAAGGCAAGTTGAGCAAACATCTGTAAGAGGTGACGAAAAACTGACATTGAAACGTGTGTTAAAAATGTGTCTAGAGTAAGATTCTTTTACCTTTAAACAATTTTCGTCTGTGCTTTGATCACACATAGCGTACATTTTGCTGATGTTCAAATCTAGGTCTTGCTTTTACCTCTACTATAATGGGACTTAATTCTCTTAATTTTTTTTAATAAAATTATAACAGATGCTTGTTTTTCTACAAACGTTGCCTCTTTCCTATTGCCACCACGAGTTTCTTGGGGCACCAGAGAACATCCCTTCTTAAAACGCTAGATTACACCTATTATTCGATGCTTTGTGATCCCTAAAATCTGTAAAAAGGCATTTCTACAAACCTCTATTTAACGTGGGCCTCATTTAACACAAAATAATGGTAGATGAATGCTTTGGAAGGTCCACCTTTCATATTTCGCATTTTTGCTGGGGCACATTCCTTGCAATACTAGAAAAAAAACTATCTTGCTTTATTTTCTACTTGGAGTTGTAAAAAGTTGAATGGAATCGCGAAACATCTCTTATAGTTAGCAATTGGCAACCTTTTTTAATTACTACTTCTATGCTTACAAGTTGGATAAATTGGTAGTGATTTCGCAGAATACCTGAAGCAAACAAAAAAACACGTGTTAATCTTCGCAGCGATAAAAATTTAAATTTATATATTTCTAATTTAAAAACCAAAAACGGTGTTCGTAGATAACATAAACCATGACAAGACGTAAATTAGTATACACAGACGACATGCTAACTTACCTTTTAATCTTATCCTGTTCCAGTTACCAATAATTTTTGTCGACTAATCTCTTTCTGGCTTCATTTTTAGGTGCTTCAAATACGTTCACTTCCATTTTTCGGAAAAATAACGAAAATATTATTAAAAAAAACACGAAAACGGTTCGATTGTGCTACAAAATCAAGTTAGAGCTCTCCGTTTCTGAAACTGATGCTCGTTTTAAAATGCAATTTTTTGCATTTTGAAGCCGCTTTTGAAGCTAAAGCAATTCAGATTTGAATTCCTCGGAAAAAATCCTATAAGAATGTACCTTATAACTAAATTTTGTAGAAATGGAGTTGTCTGTCTTTGATACTAGGCTCCCCATATTTTAAACAATATATGTTTTATTTAAAGAGAAGTATTTTCTGTATGTTGTTGTATTTTATAAATACCAAACCTTCAAAAAACTATTTCTTAATGTTAAGTAAGAATTAAAGTTCATAAATAATTATTCTCAAATAAAAATTAAGCTTAAAAGTATTTTATTTACCTATTTAGAAGATCATTCTGTTTGTCCAATCGAATTCCAGATACAAATGCCCACAAAATATTTAGTACTGTTACAGTGAATATTTCATCAACGCGCAATTCTTTTCCTTCATTTTCTTTTAACATATTTAAAACCTCAGTAACTTCGTCTCTTAAAAACACTTCCATAGAACTTTTACCCATACCTAGATATTTAAGATGGTTTGTTACAAACTTTCTCTGTATATGCCAAAGTCTTCCACTTACAATCGTTATTCCTAAAACAATGGAAGAACAAACCAGTAATAAAAAAAAGAGGTTAATCTTTGTAATTTAGTATATTTAAAAACCCTTAAAAGGGCTACATCAAAAACACGAAACAAAATATTTGGGTAAAAACCCTTTAAAATAAAGATTTACATAATGTTGTTTTTGCCTTTGCTATTGCATTTTCATTTACAAGAAATCTTTGCTTGTGTATTTACGAAATCAGAGTTGGAAGTACTGCAACACACATGTCGTTTCCTAAACCCTTCTACAAAGTTGAAAGTTTTTTAAATTTGTTAATCTAAACACCCTAGTTTTTTTAAATTTTAGAATTTAAACCAGAAATTAACCTAATTTAGACCAGAAATTCACTAGTACAGGATAGGGATGGGAAAAAACCTACCGGTTTTAACTGAAAACCGGTTTTTTTACTTCGAAATAACCGGTTTAATCGGTTGTTTTTTTTGTCCCGGTTATAACCGGTTTTTTATTTTTAAAGTAAAAACCGGTTATTAGGTTTTTACAGTGATTAGGATTAGGTTAGGTATTATTTTGGATCCCACAAAAACCTAATTATTATTCTCAAGTAATTATTCCAAACAAAACTTAAATTCAATTTTTATTTTATTTAATACAGAAGCAAAAGCTCACATTAGCCAGAAACAATTAAATTTTATTATAGTATTTCGTTGAAAAAGTATTTGTAATCATAATACTTTTACATAAGAAGTGATCTGGTATTTATTATGGTTATTTGACTCTTGACATTGAAAGTGGGTGAATGGCTTTTTCTGATTACCAAAAATAATGACTATGAATATCGAATTACCGATTACGAATACGAATCTACAAGGATTTCCCTACGTTTTCAAAACGATTTATACCCATACCGGAAGTCGTAAATGAGTTAAAAGTAATACATAATAAAATTTTTTTGATGGCAGTAAAAATAAAAGATGAACTGCATTATTCAATTTATTTTTAAGTAAAATATTTATGTTGATATTATTTTCTTTAAATCCCATTTGAAAGAGTCTGGGGAATTTTTTTCTCACAAAACATTGCAAATGTAGTATTGCAAACTAAAGTGCATTCGTAAATGTAACTTTTTAATCTATTTGATTAAAAAACCGAAAACCGGTTTTTGAAAAAACCGGTTTTTTGGCTGGTTATAACTGCCAGGTTAAACCGTAAGCAAAAAAAAACCGGTATAACCGAAAACCGATGTTTTGTCGAAATACCGCCATCCCTAGTACTGGAGTTAACTACTAATTGACCATACTAATTGACCATGTAGAATCTTATGTATCTTGACACCAACGTAAATGCAAAATGGGAACAAGCCACAGAAATTAAGGCGAGAATAGAACGAGCTAAAGCAGCATTTAACAATATGAAAATGATCCTCATAAACAAGGATTTGTCTCTTCCCCTAAAACTACGTCTAGTTAAATGCTACATTTTTCCGATCCAACTATGTGGTGTGGAGGCCTAGACGCTGACAGAGACGCTCACGAGAAAACTAGAAGCGTTCCAAATTGTGGGCGTACCGACGCATTCTTCGTATATCCTGGACCGAACATGTCACCAACATAGAGTTAATCCAAAGAATCGGAAAAGAGAAAGAAATCGTGAGCAAAATTAAACAAAGAAAGCTTGAATATCTAGGCCACATATTGAGACACGATAAGTTGAGGCCCAGTAAGCGAGGGCCAGGCAGGAAAAAACATTCATAGCTCCAAAATCTGCGGAAGTGGTTCGGGCTCACATCGGTCGAACTATTCAGAAGCGCCGCAAACAAGATCTGAATTGCCGTGTTAATAGCCAACGTTCGCAACGGACAGAGCACTTGAAGAAGAAGACAGGAGACAAGCCCTTATACTCCTCATTGTAGGATGAGGTATTTGTTAACATTTTTTTTTTCTATTCCGTACATTTTTTCCAGAGGTTCCATCCACTTTTCCTTGCTAGTTTGGCGCAGCTAATAGAGTAGAACTGCTGCGCTGTCATATCTTCGCTAAAATAACCCCATAATAAAAGAGTTTCTTTGCTTCCTATAAATTCTTTGGACTGGATAATTCGGTACATCGCTATATCTATAAGCTATCCATGCGGTTTTAGGCCTTCTTGTAATAAATGAAGGAGTAAAAAGGTAGTAGAAGGAGTAAATAAGTTGTTCTTTGCAGCCCATAGAACCTTTTCTGTCAAGGCTCTATGGTATTTTTTGGAGAACAGTGTTGGTAGATACACTGAATTACATAGGGTGTGAACAATTTGTGATCCTGGGTGTTATTTTGATCCTTCGGTATTAAATTAGAGGTTTCCTGAGTAATAGTAATAGTAATCTGAGTATTTCCTGCAGTTCAGAAATAATATGATTAATTAATATTGTTAAAAGCTCATAAATACTCCAAAACTTCTTTAGCCAGAAGTTTTGAACTCCGTCTGGTTCAGAAGATTTTCAGTTTTGAAGTTATTTCATTATGTTGAGACTTCTTTAGTGGTGAAAGGTTTATAAGTTGTTCGTCGTTTCTTCAATCCATTGGCTTCGAAAGTTGGTTTCCCCAAAACTCATGATTTTTGTTATGATTAAGAATATTAATATTATTATTCTAAAAATTTATAATAACATTTCTTATTATTTAAATAGCAATACTAAGAAACTAAATAGTACATCGTAATCAGGGTCACTTCAGCGGTCAAGATACTACCATGAATAATAAAATCGTAATACCAAAAGTTACTTTTAAATACTAAACATATGACACATAATTTCTGCTTACTCTACATTAGCTCGGCAATAAAGTTTGCTGAATCCTAACTCACGTTTTGTTTATTTGACAATAAATTGAGTTATGCGATGTTCTAGTTATTACCAAGCTTGTATTTTAATATGATTAAATGCAATGCTATATATATATATATATATATATTATATATATATATATTATATATATATATTTATATATATATATTATATATATATATATATATATATTATATATATATATATACTGTGGTTTCTTTATTTACAAACATTTCACTAACTATGGTCACGAACATTATAGAATCAAATTGGAACCTTATAAAAGACTACACGACATTATCTAAAGGTAATTTTCTACTAATTCTCAGGTTCATTTTTAATAACACTTATTTCAGTTTCAATGGAAAATTTTACTCCCAAATTTTTGGAACACCTATGGGTTCCCCGATTAGTCCCATCCTTGTTACTATTGTAACTGATCATCTCTTAGACAATGTGATAACGCAATTACCTTTCGAATTACCATTTATATATAAATATGTCGATGATATCATATGTGCAGTTCCATCTTATCACATCAATACCACATTAAACATCTTTAATTCATTTAACAAACATCTTCAGTTCACAATTGAAACAGAGACAGATCTTAGTATACCATTTTTAGACACAAAGGTAATAAGAACAAATGACAATATTTTGACATTGGATTGGTACCAAAAGCCAACTGCATCGGGCAGGTATATGAATTACTTTTCAAACCACACCACTTGTCAAAAATATAATACAACATTGGGTATGAAAAATAGGGTAATGTCCATTGTTGATGATAATTTATTACAGAAAAATCTGGACATATATACAAAATTTTTCGAAATAACGGCTATCCTAAACATATTTTAAAAAAACTCATTTACAGTAGTAATTTTTATGATGGCCCTGTCCTTGATTCCAACAATGAGTCAATCAAATACAAAAAACTCCCCTTTATCAATGGTCTAACTCATTCAATCATATCCATATTTAAAGATGTTTCCAATATTAATATAGCTAAATACAATACCATAAATAGCAAACAACTTTTTTCCAAAATTAAAGATCCAGTACCAACCTTATATAGAAGTAATGTGGTATATGAAATAATGGGTCTAGGATGTGAAAAAAGCTACATTGGCCATACATCGCAGTGGCTAAAACAACGTATCACACAGCACAAAAGTGATTGCCGCTTGGGAAAAAATAGTTGTGCAGTAGTCGAGCATTATAAAAACACGTACTGACAAGTACAAAAGTAGGTTATTTTTGGAGATGTACCACATCAACAAAAATAAACAAACTTTAAATTATAAAACAGACACGGGGCAATTAAACAAAATATATTGCAATATATTGAACAAAATTTAAAACTCACTCACCGTAATGATTAATTATACTAACTAGCCTTAATGATTAATTAAAGAAACAATATTCCTCTAATGTTTTCTTACATTGTTAGTTTTTGCATTTTAAATAACTTTTAGTTGTTTCTATCTCATTTACTTACTGTTAACGAACGTGCTCATATGTACTTACATTTTAACACGCTTATACATTATCAAAAAATGTTTATTTTAATATCAAATTTATTTATGTGTGAAATCTTTTAAGTTCTGTAAGTATTGTAAATCTAAGTGTACGTCAGATTTTTGAAATGTTTGTTTTTTATAGTTACTCCTGATGAAGCTTTTAAATAAAGAGCGAAATATTGAGTTTTAGAGAAAACAAAGATTTTTATTTAATATAGACCACATACCCGATATTTCCAACATACTGATAAATTGTTTTTTGATCGAAATAATTATATAAATATATATATATATATATATATATATATATATATATATATATATATATATATTAAAATAAAACCCATGTGGGATACTCCACACTTGACTATATTTCTTTCTCAGATAATCGTTTACTGTTTTGCATTTCAAGTCCAAAACGACTTACCTTTTATCATCCCCATATTTCGTAAATAGAAAAAGAAGTTCTTTGGTCGCGCTAGAAATTCCTCTCTCTTGAATATAGCTTTAATAGCAGCGTGGTTAAATACCACAACAACATTTTCGTTGCCATTTCGAAGACCAATGACGTCAGATTTATATTTTTTAGACAGATATAGCTGGGTGAGGTGCTGCGATTTAAATGTTTTTAAGAGCTTTTTTACTTCTAGCACAGTTCCTACAATAGGATACCAAGTGGGACCTAAAACGAATTAAATATTTTATGAGCATTGATTTAATTCTATATTACTAAATCTTTTGTTTATTATTCATGTCATTCTCTTATTCTACGAACCACAGTTACGTCCCTGGATTATCCAATATGTGACGACATGTAGAAAGACTATATATCATCATCAATCAGCCAAGCGCGTCCACTGCTGGACATAGGCCTCCCTCAATTCTTTCCAGTGTTCTCTACACTGGGCCGCTTGTAGCCAGTTTCCCGCTACACGTTTAATGTCATCGGTCCATCTAGTCGGTGGTCGTCCTCGGCTTCTTTTATAATTTCTGGGCCTCCATTCCATAATACGTCTTGTCCACCGTCCATCTTGTGTTCTGGCTAAGTGCCCTGCCCAGTTCCACTTAAGCGTCGTGGTTCTTTCGATGACGTCTTGAACTCCTGATCTTCGTCTGATTTGTTGGTTTGTTATGTGGTCTCGAAGGCTCACGTTCAGCATTGCACGTTCCATGGCTCGTTGTGTAACTCTAAGTTTATTCGCAGATTTTTGCGTGAGTGTTAAAGTCTCTGCTCCATAAGTTTGTACAGGTAATAATAGACAGAAAGACAGAAAGACTATATATACCAGTGTTTAATTAGATTAAGAGCTTTTTGTTTTGTAGTTGTTACCATACCTGTACGTTCTCAAAATAAATTTTGTTACGAAAATAAATTTTTTTAAAAATCCGTTTTTGCTCTTGAATTTCGTAACTGGCGCAGTCATTTGGATTTTTCGAAATTGTACAAGTGTTCGTGTTAACTTTGACGAATTTCGTGTACAATTTCTGTTTTTAAAGATTAACGGAAAAGATCCACATTTCGGGTACGGTAACAGCCAAACGTCCAGGGCTAGGAACAAACATTGTCCACAACCTATTGGAGAAGCCAACACCAGGGAGAAGGAACCAGCATCGTCCAGCATCCTATTGGTGCAGACGGAGGAACAGAAATAGTCTGAAGTCTATAGAAAATGAAAATATTTATATTCATCGTCAGAATCTTCGGAGCAGGCAACTATATCAACGCAAGGGACAACTTAGTCAAATTCGAAGATGTAACTTCATATCCAGGACTCCTACCTTTCCGATTAGGTACCTCTAAAATAATTTCTACACACTGAACATTTATACAAATTTACAATTTAACTTCTGCCATACAAGAATTTTATTTATTGAAAAATAAAGCTCAAAAACTACATTCAAGTTTCAGAAATCAAACAAGTTATTATTCAGAATTAGAAGACTCATTTATTCCTCTAATTATGTCACAGAATTAAGTATTATAGGAAATATGGACCGAGAAGACGCACAAAGAATAGAAAACGAAATAAAACAATTAAAAGAAAATCAAAATAATTTAAGTCAATTCTCTAAGACAAATATCTTTATTGCAAGATTCTATAAATACTTTTAATAATGCTATAAATAATATTTCACATAATCAATTGATTTTAAAATCAAAAATTGAAGTTATAGAGAATAAATTAGCTTTATTTGAAAAAAGTATGTATACACATATTCAGTCATTTATAGTAATAAATCAAATTACTTTACTTTATCAAACAATTTATGATATTTTTGAAAAAGTAGAAAGTGCAATTTCATTTGCTAAAATAAATACTTTGCACAATTCTATAGTAAATTCAGTTGAACTTTTAAATGAAATTAAGAAAGCAAAGTATTAGACAGGATGAACAAACAAAAGGAGGTCGTATTGAGTGTTAAAATGAGGAAACTACAGTACCTGGGACATATTACACGTGGGAATAAATATCAACTGTTGCAACTAATTATGCAAGGAAAGATTGAAGGTAGGCGCAGCATATGTAGGAGAAGAATGTCATGGTTGAGAAACCTCAGGGAGTGGTTTGCTTGCACTTCCATACAATTGTTCCGAGCGGCAGCCTCCAGGGTCAAAATTGCCATGATGATAGCCAACCTTCGTAGCGGAGATGGCACGTGAAGAAGAAGAAGAAGAAAGCAAAATCTCAGACAAAGTCAAAATTGATGCCTTTTGATACTACACTAGGAAAAATAATGAAGTACGAGAAAATAATAAATATTAAGAGCTATTCAGTAAATTCCATAATTACATTTGTATTAGAGATTCCATTAGTTGAATCGGAAGTATATAATTATTACCAACTATTCCCTATTCCTATTCCTATTATCAACTCAAATTATCTTATTCATTTACCTTACAAACCTTTCCTTGCACTTAATGAATTCAGCTTTATCCATATGGAAGATACATGCACAGAAATAGATTCAGAAGAGTACATATGTAAAGGAAGTATTAAACTAACGATAACCGAAGAAGCCCCTTGTGCAGTCCAATTAATAAATTTTAAGGAAAAGACATTGTTATGTGTACATTTCGAAGTAAAGATAAAGAAGATAGAATCTACAAGAATCAGGGACGGAAAATGGATAGTTACAGTTCCAAAAGAAAAATTAGCAAATATCGAGTGCCCAACCTCAAAAGAAAATTTACCAATACATGGAAGCTGTGTTTAAGAATCAGTTCCCGAATGTACCGTGAAAATAAAGAATGAAGTCTTCCAAACAGAAAAAATTAGTAAAACTCACTTTGCTCATATAAATCTTCCAAAAGTTATTCCTTCTGTTAATATTTTTCAAAATGAAAGTTCAAATTTTTTACCAATAAATCTTAATACAATTAATCTTAGAAAGACTAAATATATTTTAGAAAAGTTAGGAACACAAAAATATAATTTAAAAGATCATAATTCAATTTATTTTAAACAAACAAGTTTTTGGACAATCTGTATATATATAATAATTTTCATTTTAATTTTATATTACTTAACTAAATATTGTACATCAAAGAAAACAAGAAGAAGAAGACAAGAAGAAAGAAGAAAAGAAGAAACCCAAGAGTTTATTGTGTAACGAAGCACGTCCCAAGGATATGCTTCATTCTAAGGGTGGAGGAGTTACGTCCCTGGATTATCCAATATGTGACGACATATAGAAAGACTATATATACCAGTGTTTAATTAGATTAAGAGCTTTTTGTTTTGTAGTTGTTACCATACCTGTATGTTCTTAAAATAAATTTTGTTACGAAAATAAAATTTTTTAAAAGTCCGTTTTCGGTCTTAAATTTCCTTTAAACTCCATGCCATCTTTGTCTTTTTTAGAAGATTTGTATATTAAAAAAGTTTATTTAAAAATTGTTTATAAAAGGTATGTAAATAAAAAGACCGTTTCACATCACAGAACGTTTTCGGATTATTAGGTTCATCATCAGTACATTTACCTAAGGTGTACCTAAGTCAAGCCACTAAATATTTAGGTAAAAACCCTTAAAATGGGACAAAATTTGTTATTTGTTACATTTTTGTTAAAAAACTTTAAGGGCAAAGCCCGGAGGAATCTGTTTTTTGTGTCCATTTTAAGACTCCAAAGTTGACATTGTCAGTAAAATTCTGCTCGTTCATATGATTTTTAGAGGTCAAATCACTAACAACTGGACTATGAACCATATCAGCAAAGATTATTTACTTCCATAGACAACCAATTAAAAAATACGTATGAAATGAATAAGTATGAAACTTCCATAGACAACCAATTAAAAAATACGTAGTTTGAGCAATGTATGAACAATATTATACCAAACCACCTTTCAGCCATCAATTTTCTGTTTTTCTGGCATACTTGTCAACACACAAAAGCAACCTACCATCTTTATTTTTCACACAAAACCAGTAATTTATGTTCATGAACTTATAACTTGAAAAATCTTTTATTTTTACTAGGTACCAAATGTTGTTTTTTGACATAAAGGGCCTTCCATGTTTAAGTTTTAAGTAAAGTACTACATTAACATCAAATTACAAACACATTTATGTCATATTTAAATTTCATCTCAACAGCATATCTTTTACTACATCACTTTTTTTTTTTTTTTTATTGAGTTTAATGCGTCGACAACTAATGGTCATTGGCATGGTACAGTGAATTTTTACAGTCAGGGTACCTAGTGTAGAGTGTAGTGTGTGTGTAGAGTAATTGTCTTGATACTTAGCAAAGTCGACGTCATTGTCTTTGCTAAGAGACGCTAATTGTATCCGAACGTCTGCGGTCCCTCCGGTGTGTACCGATCACACAAGGATAGAAATAATTTTCATTTATTAATTTTCATTAATAAATCTTATAGAACCCATCTTCCTACATTTGCCTTTTTTTAACATTTTCTAGGTACCAAATGTTTAACAACATACAGGGCCTTTTGTTAAAATTTTTAGTTTAGAATAAATAAATCTAGACAAATGTATATTTGGTTGCCTATCGATCCTAGAAAATTTCATATACTTTAGTTTACCTACATTAATTTTAAAAAAATAATTGTTTCAATATTTTCAACATAGATACAGGATTAATTCACATCATAGACTACAACATTGATGGTTGATACTGTTACATTATTATAATTTTAATTTTTTAAATTTAAATAATGCTGGCTTCTGTCCCAGCTGTTCTACCCAACATCCGTCCTCACATGTCAACAATGTCATTTTTATCAGTTGTTATCAACAGGTCCTCTAAGACACTTCGTCTCAGGACCATATAACCTATGTAGGGTCATACGTCGCCATGTTACCAATTCCAACGGTAACTTACACATCCTAATTTGTAATCATAAATAATGTAAAACAACTAGAAATTTGTAACATTTAAAGGGTTTTGACCCATATATTTTGGTGGCTCATAGGATGTACACTCTGTAAGTATTAACCACATTTTGCTTTAATCTTAGTTAACATTTTAAATTCAACGTTCTTTTTAATTAAAGTGGCTATATACTTTCAGGTTAACACTGATGAGGGAATTAACATTCCGAAAACGTTCTGTAATGTAATTGTGATAGCCCGTTTGGGCATTTTATTGTATACCTTTTATAAAAGATTTGAAATAAAATTTTTTGTGATATATGGTATACAGCCACCTACAGGAACTTAGTTTCCTAATGGATTTTTTCTAAATATTTGTATTTTAGACTCTTTGGTTATAAAACGAAAAGGGGAAAGTCGAGAAAATATAATGAAAAATACGGTCAAGATTTGATTTTACATACAAAGCGTCTATGTATCTGTTTATACGCATTTTGGCCTAATAGGTCTCATCAGAACAGCTATTCATAGGCGTTCTCAACGTGAAAAATAAATCTTTTCTGTCTTTTAAGAAGCAACACTAAAATGGTTTCGATATGGACGCAATAGCGACATCTAATAATAAATCCGTAAAATAAATTGGTAATTGGTAAAATGAATTGGATTCGAAATTATTTTATCGACAAAATATATATATATAATATATTATATATATATATATAATATATATATATATATATATATATATATATATATATATATATATATTATATATATATGTAAAGAATAAATCTTTTAGCAAAAAGCTGCTATCGCTTTGTTGTATTGAATTGGCCAAATATATGGCCTAGAAGGACAAATTCGTTAAACTTCCGTGTTCGAATCGGTATCAATATATATATATATATATATATATATATAATATATATATATATATATATATATATATATATATATATAATATATATATATATATATATATCAAAGGTGGTAATCATTAACTTTTTGCATAATTTATTTAGATATTGGCGATATTATATTACTATAGTCATAAAAATGCAGGTATACATAGAAACACTTCAAGACAAATCAAACCATTACGCGTTTGATTTACTATAAGCTTTACTACTAAGCTTCGCTTCTATACTTCATCTAATTTACATACCGATGCACATCATCGGCGTCATAGCCCTTGACGTCACATGATACCAACACGAAATATTTAGGCGGTAGGTGTGTTCTTTTTTAGAATCACTTTGCTGAATACACTGGAATTACAGCCACTAGACATATTTTATTATATACGCGAGTTATAGTCGTTGACCCCATAAGCCAATACCCTAAATCCGATGCGTCAGCACCTGAACTATGATAGACCTGAATGTAAAAGTGCAACTTATGAATTAATGTTTTATTTTCCAATGTGTAATGTATTTTATTTTATGAATTATAATTCAGTCTGATTTGAATCTTTGTACTGTGAAATCTGATTTTAATATTGTAATAAAGTTCTCGCATTTGTAAAGTAAATAATTATTCAATCGTAAAATAGTTTCGAAACACAATTCAGATTTCTGCTTTATAATCTGAGCCTTCTAAGAATTGCAAGGCAAACAGACGTTGATAAAAGATGTTAAAAGAGACATGGGGAATCTAAAATTTGCATTCCACGACATGTCTTTTACAACTAAGCAGAAATCCTTAGCGAATTCTGTTTCTCGTACTCCCACAGAGCATATCCGAATAAAATGAGAAAAGGCAGCAAATATTTGATTTCACGCAAACAAATCCTATGTATCTCTTGATACGTATTTCGACCTAATAGGTCTCGTCAGAAGAGCTATTCATAGGGCTTCTCAACGTGAAAAATCAATATTTTCTGCCTTTTAAGAAGCAACAATAACATGGCTTCAATACGGACGCAGTAGCGACATCTAATTAAACAATCGTAAAATAGTTTCGAAACACAATTCAGATTTCTGCTTTATAATCTGAGCCTTCTAAGAATTGCAAGACAAACAGACGTTGATAAAAGATGTTAAAAGAGACATGGGGAATCTAAAATTTGCATTCCACGACATGTCTTTTACAACTAAGCAGAAATCCTTAGCGAATTGTGTTTCTCGCTTAGTTGTAAAAGACATGTCGTGGAATGCAAATTTTAGATTCCCCATGTCTCTTTTAACATCTTTTATCAACGTCTGTTTGCCTTGCAATTCTTAGAAGGCTCAGATTATAAATCAGAAATCTGAATTGTGTTTCGAAACTATTTTACGATTGTTTAATTAGATGTCGCTACTGCGTCCGTATTGAAGCCATGTTATTGTTGCTTCTTAAAAGGCAGAAAATATTGATTTTTCACGTTGAGAAGCCCTATGAATAGCTCTTCTGACGAGACCTATTAGGTCGAAATACGTATCAAGAGATACATAGGATTTGTTTGCGTGAAATCAAATATTTGCTGCCTTTTCTCATTAAATAATTATTTTTTAAAAATCGTCCCTGAAGGCAGAAACTATTAGTCGCGTAGAAATAATATTTAAAGATTTCTATTAATGTTAACTTAAAGAAATACACAATAATGTGTTTCATTTAATTTGTAAAAATGCATTATAAAGAGTTTTTATGAAGAACGTTTTTTGTTCGGAACACAAATTTTGGCATAAATTGGTAACACTTATTTGACAGTTGCGGTGTTGACACTTTTTGTACTTTATTATTTTGAATTTTGAAGTGAATACCTCTTGTTTTATATTTTTACCTATTTAATAAAATCTGTGCTTTTTAGAAAAAAATTAGTGTGTTTTATTTCAAAAATGTCACGTAAGAATTTAAATAGTCTTCGTAAAGAGATGGTAATACTTTTGCAATAATTATGTGACCTATTTGATTTAAAATGAAGTCAGGATTTTTTTATACTTTGGCGACTATGTCAACTTCGATTTCTGTCAATGATAATGACGTGCATCGGTAAGTAAATTAGATGAAGTATATATATTTAGAAATTTTAAAAACTAGCAGGAATAGATGTGGCTAGGTACCTTATAAAAAGATACAAAGGTGGTATACAATATTAACAACATCGAAATAAATATCTTTTGCACTGGACTATCCTATAAAGAACAAAGAAATATTTCTTAGGACAAAAACAACACATGCTATCGAAAAAATCGCGTTGCTAAAATTGAATTGGGCAAAGTACGTTGGTGGCCAGATTATCAGACAATCGATGGACAAAACGTACTTTTAAGTAGAGAACACAAAAAGCACTACGTAGCAAAGGGCGCCCAACCGACCAGAGGGACTGACGATCTAAAGCGTGTTATTAAAAACTTGAAAGGTTTCCAAATCGACTACTACGTCTTTATATTTAATAGAAGGATTATTATCTAAGCTATTTAAATAATTTAAGATATATACTTACCAGGGGGATAATTTTTTGGTTTTATAGTCAACGAAAACAGATAACAAGATATAACAACAATTGCCAATATTACCGAAAACCACATGATAAAGAAGAGAAGTCAGTACTATAGCAGCCTTTTCATTGTTTCTGTATTAAATAATAAAATAATTAGCAATTCAATTGTGGCAGCTATTTATCGTGTTCTTTATCATAAATTCCAAATTTTAAATACGCAATACATTATAATTCCAAAATTAACGATACGGAAAGCGAGGAAGAAGTTCCGATAACTCAATTAACAATATAACCAGTTATATCTAATGAATAAAGATAAACATTTAAAAAGTATTTAAAATTTCATAAATTGTGAAAAAATTTCAAATAAATACACTCAGAAGATTAGTTAGCGTACAAATTGGTAAAAAAGTTAATCAAATACACTTTTAGGTAAATTATTTTTCCCGAAAAGTACCTACTCCATTCTTTTTTTGGCCCTTATTTAGTTTTTCTTGCCTATAGTCTCATAAACTGGTTTTTAATAAAAAATATTCTCAAAGTTTTATGATTATTACTAAGTCAATAATAATAATAATAATAATAGCAGAAGGTACTGGTTTTTTCTCTAGTAGTGGAAATATTAATATTTCTACTCGAGTACATATACAAGCAAGATATCAACAAAAATAGCCAAACACATAAAAAAGAAAGGAATAACATTAGCTTTTAGAACCAACAACAACTTAGACAAATATAGTAAAAACAACAAGAGCCAAAATAAAAAGCACTTACACAGTGGTGTATACAGACTTAAATGTGGAGACTGCACAAAAACTTACATAGGTCAGACTGTTAAAACTTTTAACAAACGTATAGCAGAACATCAAAGGGCTTTCAATAATAGAAAAACAGATTCTGTATACGCACTTTACCTTCTAAACCATAATCAATATTTTAATGACAAATTTCAAATTCTTCACATCCAAAATAATGGCCTTAAGTTACCATTATTAGAATCTACAGAAATTAACAAATTAAAAAATACAGATATGATTCTGAATGACCAACTTGGGACAAACAGTTCTCCCTTCCTCAACCTATTCAGTTAAGACTATAAAGTGTAAACACATACCAAAAATAGATGGCTTGAGAAAGGCCAAAACAGCTCTAGTGATAAGACATAATAAATTTTGTGTAAGTTTTGAAAACAAAGTTTTCAATGTTTTATGTGATAAAAATGAATTCAAGCATGTGGACGATATAGTAGAAAATAATGAAGTAAAGTCAATGAAAGTGATTAAATTAATATAGATGTTGAAGTACTATCTGCCTAAGACTTAGAAAACTGTATTAAATGAAGTCCAAGAATATACGTCAAGCAAATTTTCCAAACTTTTTAAATGTTTTCTAAATAAAAATTTATTTTTTTTTGGCAGTTGTTGACAAATCTTATTCTTTACAACTATTCAACCCTTGATCAGTCTTGGCTTTAACTAAAAAATATTTCAAGCTTTCTCTATTTAGCTGTTGATGTCCTTATTGCTAGTACTTGTAGATATATTTCTACATCCACCATGAAGTTGACGTTTTTTGAAGTTCCTTTCAATTCAGAGCAGCAGTCTCAAAAGTCCGAATACCTATTTCGGACTGGCATTTCAAGAAGAAAAAGAAGATTTTTCCGTTGTCTCTGTCCCACACGATAAATAATTAAAACATAAAACCGCGTATGTATGATTTAAAAAAATATATATATATACGTGACATCTACTAAACGAATAAAATTTGGTTCATTTTTAAACATTTAATGAGATTAAATCATTAAGGAGTACACTATTATTAACAGAACTAAAATTTAAAGGGATGAGTTCGAAGTTAAAATCATTTATTTTCAAAACATTGAAAAGTTCTCTCTTACTTTTCATTTTATATCCAGCATAACTTCTTCCATAGTTCTAATTAACTTTTTTCGTTTATGCTTAAACAAGACATTTTTGTCTTCTTTCGATTCTAAGTGTTCCTTCAATTTTTTCTCAGTTAAAAAGTGTAGCAACTCCAACTTATTTTGCATTTTTTAATTAGGTATGTGTGATATATTTTTTGGTCCTTTTTTTAATTTGAAAAGTCGATAAAACGTTAGTATACATTCTTTAACCAAATCTCTATTTATATTAATTATTTTGTGTATTTCATGATATTTGTCTGGATCGGCACGACTTTCTTTTTTTTTGCTAAAATAATTTTTTTACAGAATGTAATTACTTCATTTTAAATGCGAAATATTTTAATTATTAAAAAAGCAGATATTATTAACATTTTTTTAAGTTATAATGACCACATCCATAAATACTGACCTGTACAACATTGAATATTTCGGCTAGTAAGGAGTAATGTCGTTCGCTCACGGAATGACAGTTTGTGGAATCTGGATGTTCTCATGATTTGATTGGCTATGGTACGATTCCAAAAAAGACTGCAGATGGCAGACTGCAACTGCAAACGGCAATTGCAGTTACTGCCTCGCAGACGTCAGTACTTTGCAGTATTAATTTGTTATGAGACTGATTCCGACATTTTATGCAACTGCTGCCCGGCAGAACAACACACTTGCACAAACACGGTACTACGGTTAGTGCCGTCGTGAAGTTGGACGACATGGAAGTAGTGACAAACGAAAAAGCGATTATTTTATGATCTAGTGTCTAAATATCTCTGTTTATTCAAGTGCAAAAATGCGAATTATAAAAATTTACATCTTAAAGAAAATGTTTGGAAAATCGCACAAAATGTGAAAAAAATCTTTTGATCAATGTTTTATAAGAGTTTTCTTCCAATGTAGTTAAGTATAATGGCTATTGGTTGTGTAGGATTTCTCTTAAAGCAATAGTACAATAACAAATCGTCGTCAATATCTCCTTGAAGTAAAACTTGCAGCATTTCGTATTCCATATTTTTTTTATATAATAAACAATTTGAACTGTTTTATGACGACATGTAACTAAAGTAGCTGCTGCTGACTTCGGAATCAATACGACAGCAACTGCAACTGCCGCCTGCAGTCATTGTCGGAATCGTACCTTTATAGACTGCCTTTGTTAGCAGTCTCCAATAAAAATTGATCAACAACAGATATACCAAGGCTCATATGGTTTTCATTAATATTAAGAACGCGTTTGATAGAGTTCCTCAAGAGATTTTTTGGTAAGCTCACATTAAAATCTCCAGTATTTCAAGACCACAAATAAAAATAATGGTTTGATGCTGTATTAATTATTAGGATATATCATTTATTAGAGACAATGCGATTGTGCTGCTTTCTTAAGTTAATTGGGTACACTAAGATAACTAATTTGTTCCATTTTAAGATTAATAATTTATACCTAATGCTGAAAATATATCTTGGCACTTTGTATCTATACTCCACAAATATACGACTGTTTTAAATTCGCTTTAAGGTGTCGATTTAAATGGTCCAATGTACTGAATTGTACAATAGTAAATTCTCCCCATTTTTAAAATACTGTTACGACAGATATAAGCCTTAGATTTAAATATGAAGTCATGATATAAATATAAAGTTAATAGTTTATAAAACAGTTGTAATTCAGATTTTGAATAATATAATTACTATCATGGAGTTTATTTTTTCATTTCAATAATTTCATTGTAAACAAGTTGGTTTTTGAATTATGTGATTTAAACGAAATGTAACAATACTTAAGTGATCAAATATTGTAAATTTTTTAGTCGAATATTCAATTAATATTAAAAAAACAAAAAAACTTACTTATTCTTCTTACCTATTCTCTTAATCTTCTAAAACTATCATCAACGATCAGATTCACAGCCATAATCAGTCGGGATATATGAAACTGTAAATTTTCGTTACTTTTTAATATCTGTAACGACTCAGTACTTTAACTATCAATAGCCGGTATATTATACCCGTTACTTTCGGAACTTTTAAGAGTACATAAACTCAAAGCAAACAAATATTTAAAACTAACAAAGTGAAATTAGATCATTTTTCTGGTTTGTGAACCATCGTTCTGCCAATTTCTTTTCATTTATATTAAAAATAGTATATTTCTTTTTATTACAGTTGTAATACCTAATAAAGTAATAAAAAGTTATATCAAAGAAACCCGGCACGCCTCTTTGGTGTTTACATTTCACGGAAAGCTTACCCAAATGTCTGATGAACACATTTGGCTTCATAGACGTCATTGTATTTATTTGTAGATTTTAACTGAAATAATTTTAGTTTAGATGTCATACTAGTAGACTCTTTTTATTGGAATAATGATTAGAACAATTGACCTTCATACTTCTACTTGCACAGTAAAATATTCGTTGTCGCAGTAAACCAAAACAGTCGTATATTCGCGGAATAGCCTATACATACAAATTCAACAGATAGAAAGATATTGAGGATTACTGCTCCAATATATTTATTTCCAATTTCCACGCGTACAGCTTTCGAGGTGGTAATTAGAAGAATATGTTGGTCACACCTAGCTCTGAGTTCATTTTTACCTTCACCTATTCATCCCATTCTGAAATGAGCTAAAAATAAAACGTAAATACAACATTGCCATGCAAATTCACACTAAAAAGTTATTGGAAATGAAAAAAAAATGTAAAAACGGTAAATAAGATCACTTTAATTGTAATACTACATCTTTGAATAAATAATACACTATTTAATTATTTCCAGCACCAGTTTTTAATTGAGTCGCTCTGTAAACTTCGTTTTGTACTTTTCGGGAGTTAAAGTAATTCCTGGTGTTGGTATTCCTTTTGGCATTTCGGATCCTGGATAAATGCTTAGTTCGAACGATCTCAGCATTTCGCAAAAGAATGTGAATATGCAACTTTTAGCTAGCATATCTCCTAAACATCTGCGTTTTCCTGTAAATAAAAGTTGTAGTAAATTAAGTTTAATAAGTTTTTTTATTTAATTTACTGAAAGTCAATAAGGAAATGAAAAGAAAACAATAATGAAAAGTCCGATTTGTGGTGACAATACTTCCCCACTCATTACTGTTTGTTGATTTTATCTTATAGTTTACCCTACAGTTTTTATTTTCCCTAAAACTTTATTGCCAGATCTATTAACAAACTTTAAGGTTTTGAAATTTGGTGTACGCAGGTGCATCAAAGGTGGTAAGCCGAAGGCTTAAAATGTCATAGAACAGAGTCAGAAATGAGGAAGTATTAAGAAGAGCAAGCTCCTAGGATAGGGAATTTTTTGATTAGGTACGAAGTAAGAAGATTGCATATTTAGCGATAACGGAAAGAGCAGCGATAAACTTTTCAGCAAGTAGTGCTAAAAGGAAAGATAGTGGGTAAGGGAGGTCCAGAACGTAAAAAGGTCATGACTGCGTAATATTCGCCAATGGAGAGAAATCCACCCTTATGAAATGCTTCGCAACCCTAGTCATACTAAAAATGTATTAATTTATTCTTGACTATCCAACGTCCTATCTCACAAGACATTTATTTATCGTATGGCATTTAACACATTTACATTTAAATTTATATGTATTTTTTTTATTTACAAATTCGCATCAACCCGAAGGTTATTAGCGAGAATAATCATCATCATCATTAGCCATTTTGCGTCCACTGCTGAACATAGGCCTCCCGTAAATAATTCCATTGCATCCGATCTTGAGTAACTTGAATCCAGTTAGACTGGATGCGCTTTAAATCGTCCGACCACCTTGTTGGAGGACGTCCTCGACTACGATAAGCATCGTGTCTAGGCCTCCACTCTAAAATTTTCTTTGTCCATCTTCCATCTCTGACCCTAGCAACATGTCCTACCCAGTTCCATTTCAGGGTTGTAATTCTTTCAACTGCGTCCGTCACACCAGTTTTTCTCCTTACTATCTGACTCGAAACTCTGTCCCTGAGTGATACGCCCAACATTGACCTCTCCATCGCTCTCTGTGCCACTTGTATCTTATTAATTACTTTTCTGGTAAGTGTCAATGTTTCTGCTCCATATGTCAGAACTGGAAGTACACACTGATCAAAACTTTTCTCTTCAAGCACATGGGAATAGCTGATTTAAAGACTTCCCTCAGTTTTCCGTAAGCTGCCCATGCCAGTCCTATTCTCCTTTTTAACTCTGTTGTTTGATTGTCTCTTGCCAATTTAATCTCGTGGCCCAGATACTTATAGGAATACACTTGTTCAATTTGCGTGCCATTAGTGGAAATGTTTTTTGCCAGTACCAGGTTGGTCATGTATTGTGTTTTGGAAAAATTAATTTTAAGGCCAACTCGTGCACAAGAGCTCTGAAGGTCTTGAAGAAGTTGGCATGCATGATCTACCTGATCTGCAATAAGGACTATGTCGTCTGCAAACCTCAAGTTGTTTAAAAATTTCCCATTTATATTTAATCCAATATTTTCCCAATTATTTTTTCTCATAGCACTCTGTAATAGGGCGGTGAATAGTTTAGGAGAGATAGTGTCTCCTTGCCTAATACCTTTCTCCAAGGGAAATGTGTCTGTGTCACCATAGTACATTTTTAAAGCAGCTGTTGCGCTATCATATATATTTCGAAGAAGAGTTGTGTACCTATGGTCAATACTGCACTCTGTAAGAGCTCTTAACATGGAGCTATGCTGGACTGAGTCAAATGCTTTCTCAAAGTCTACAAATATTAATATCAATGGCTTGTTGTATTCTATAACTTTCTATCTATAACTATCTATAACTAACTATCAAGGATTTTATTACTTGTAGGTGGTCATTTGTTCCAAAGCCACTCCTAAATCCGGCCTGCTCTAGAGGTTGATGAAAATTTAGCTTAGGTCCCAGTCTGTTAGTAATTATTCTCATAAAGAGTTTATATAAATGAGATAATAAGTTGATAGGTCTGTAGTTGCCAATTTCTGTTACATCTCATTTTTTATGCAATATTATCATAATGGCATTATTCCATTTTTCTGGCGTATTTCCTTCAAAGAGGCAGGCATTATAAAGGGTTTTTAAAGCCTTTATGACGCATTCGCCTCCTAGTTTTATCATTTCACTTACAATGCCATCTTCTCCAGGTGTTTTGTTGTTCTTCGTACCTTTTAATGCTGACTTAACTCTTCCAGATATAACTCTTCGGTTATATCTGGAAGTTCCTCTGACCCTTGATTTAGTATTGCTGCGAGAATCAGATTTACAATATTAAATATATTATTTATTAACAAAATTAATAGTTTTTAAGTAGTTTAACATATTTGTAAATAAATAATTTCCACCAAGTGCTTTCTCTAAGTTTATTGAGATACCATAATTGATTCTTGCCGTAGAGAATACTGGACAGACTACAACATGTTTTGCCGAGAGTTTAATGTTACACTGCTCACATTTTGGTTCGGATTCTTTAGTAATTAAGAACCTGTTCGTGGTACTGGTATGACCTGATCTAAGACGAGTTATTGTCACTTGATCCCTTCTTTTAGTGGGGAAACATCTCCATGGTTTAATGTCCGGTTTAATATTCCGAAGATTGGACACTGAGAGTTCCCACTGGTTTTGCCACTCACTTAGGATCCGCGATTTGATAACACTTGAAACATCACTAGCTATCACGTATTTCACAATAATAGAGTCAGCTGAATTGACGGCTTCACGCGCGCACTTATCTGCTTCTTCATTGACTCTAATACCATTATGTGATGGGATCCAAATATTTTGTTTAAAATTGGTCTCTTGTAAACATACAAAATCTGGATTTTGTTCTGAAAGAATGATCTGTAGCATAGGTAAATTATTGTAATAGCCATTGATATTCCACTGTATTAATTTGTTAAACTCTATTTTATTAAATAAATTTATTTAATGATTGGTTTGTGAGCAGTCACTGTCTGTATCGGATACTAGGTCGTGTGGAATTTGCATCTGCAATTGTTTTAGAAGAATTTTTCTTAATTTGGTATTTCGTGTCTTTATAGATCTGTCTTGAGTATAGGGATATATATATTTTGCTTAACATATCGATGAGAGCTGTAAAGTTGTTTGTATAATTTTCAAGGTGAATTCTTTATGTTGTCTAATAGGTCTTTTATCTGAACATAGCTTAAAATAAATGTTGTGACTGCTGGTTTATGAATGCTTCTAGAGATTTACCTTTATTTAGTTTTTTCTTAGGATTAAACAGTATTTCTGCTGGACTGGTAAACTTCGGTTTATTAGTGGTATCATTGGGAGGCGGAGAAGGACTTAACGTATCGTCAATAGTTCTTTTTGAACTGTTCTGTGAAGATTCAATTTTTATACGTAAGGTAGTTGTTTTGTTCGCAGTTTGTTTTACATTTAGTTGATTTTCTGTAGTTGGGGTATCTGTTTAAGTTGAAGTAGATGTCGGTGTGATGGTTGATATTTCTGGAGGGCTACATGTTGAGATTTCTTCTGCTGTGCTTGGGGAAGTAGGATTTGGGTTTGGATTGATAGGGTTTTTGCAGTTAGTTGCCGTATGCCCATTTTGTTTACAGTTGTAGAACGTTAGGTTGCCGCTTGATAAAAAGATTCTATATAAAGTATTATCGTAATTAATTAAAAACCATTTTGGAATTGTGAGATCTGTTGGGCTCCAGATTTGTCTCCAAAAGCTCATTATATGATTAAATTCGGGTAACGGTGCACCAATTTTTAAAAAGGGCGTTCTAGATAGAATAACAAGCCCCATGGATTCAAGTTCTTTAATTAATACATCATGAGGAATGGATAGGGAAACATTAGAGAGAATGATTCTTTCGGAGGGAGTTATATACCGTCGAGCTTGTATAATCTGGTTATTAACTTCAATGTTGCCGCTATTTTCATTCATGAATTTTTCTACGACATTTTCAGATGATAAATATAAACATATTCTACTGTTTGATAATCTAGAGCAGAATAGTATATTTTTTGGATGGATGATTTCTCCCAGGGAGAGGAGGTAATCTTGTAATTTCCCATCTTCAATGGAATTAAAAATGATAGCTTGCCGTTTTGACGGAAATTTTTGTTGTGTTAGTGCGGTAGAGTAACTTCTTGGTGTAGAATTATCCATTTGAGAATTGCCTGGTAAATTTATTTCATTGATTTGCGACATATTCGTTAATGTTTAAACATTCCTAAAGAAGGACCTGTCCGTCGCCAGAAAAAAAACCAGACGGATATACAGGTCAATGGTAATTAAATGTTTTTGTTTATCGTTAAGCAAATATGGATATGAAAATTTTCAATGATGTTAAATACGTACTAATTATATATTTTCGGTGAAATTTACAGTAAAACTCTACTTATAGACTAGCAAAAGTGAGTTCAGTTGATCATTAATAACTTCACAAATCGTAGTTAAATTTTGAAAACTTGTTCTCACTTAATTTAAACTATTTTGGAGTGCCAAAAATAAACACACCATTCCGATATCAATCGGTAGTAGACTTCTCTTATATGTATTTTGTATAAAACATAATACGTATATGTTTACAAACAAACAATTTATTTATATAGTCTATTGTCTTTGGAGTTGCCATAAGGAAATACTCTGACCTGTCTTGATAGGATCTTGTAGGACCCTGTTTTGTAATGTGACAGATGGTTTGCGGTTCTCCGCAGTCACAGTGTAGGGATGGTCATTTACCTCAGTTATGCATCATGTTACCGTATCTGTCGTGTTGGGTTCTGAGTCGGTTCAGCATAGTCCATGTGTTGTGTGGTAAGTCAAAATCTGGTGGTTTTTGTGTGATGCAGGGTAAGCTGTTATTTTGTTGTTCCATTTAATCTTGAGTCCAAGTGGTCGTTAAGTTAAACTCATTTTACACAGCAGTCCACAGTTTTACACAGTTACCGTTGGCAGCATCTATATCTTGATGAATTGGCAGGATCTCGTTACTAAGTATCCTTCTGTACTCACTAGTAAGGGCGCCGTAGTTTGGGTGGTGGAATGTGGCTCAGTAGTGGAAGTCATTGCGTAGGGGTGGATTTGATAACACTATCAATTATTCTCATTGTATTGTTGAATTGGGCATCTACTTTGTGTATATGTGGGCTGTTAAGCCAGGCTGAAGAGCAGTATTTCCGTATGCCGCACAGCTTCTGGATGATGTTGTTTTTGGATTTAAGTTTTTGCGCTGTTTTTGACAGGTGTTCCTTGCAAGATAGGGTTCTGTCAAGAGTCTTCCCCAGTTACTTTGGTGTTGTATTGTAGGCGAGTGTGGTATTTTCGAATTGGATGTTGAGTGTTCTTCCTGCAAGCTTGATATTAAGGTGAAAATTGGAAACCTATGTTTTGGTAGCGTTTGGTTAGAGTCGCCATTTACGGAAATACTTTCCCACTGCGTGTAAGTCTGCCGTGAGGATTTTTTCTGTTTGTTCAAATGACTTACACTTTGTTGCAAGGACCCAGTTATCGGCGTAACTAAACTTTCTTGATCTGGTTTCTGGTATATCAGCGATGTACAGGCTAAACAAAAAAGGAGCTAGGACAGATTCCTGAAGCAGTCCATTCTTCAGTTTTATTGAGGTGCTGATGTTGGTTCCCATGACTACTTGAATTGTTCGGTCGGCTAGCATACTGTTAATTATTTTACCAGTTGATTTACAGGAGATTGTACGGAGGAAATTGTATATCATGCCTTCTCTCCAAACTGTATCGTAGGCCGCTGTTAGGTCTATGAATGCGGCCAGTTTTAAGTTTTCTCTTGAACCCTGTTCCAATAAATGTGGTGAAAAGTGAAAGAACTTGATCTGCGCAACTTCTTTTCGATCAGAAACCTGCCTGATCAATTGGTATTGACTCAAGTAGCTTTGGACTAATTCTGTTATAAATAAGTCGTTCTAGTAGCTTTAAGGTACCTGAAGAGTGGAAGAAAAGCGAGCTTATCCTACTATACAAAAAAGGAGATAAAAAACAACCTGAAAACTACAGAGGTATCAACTTATTAAACACCACTTTGAAGCTTACAACCAAAATATTGCAAGGCCAAATAAATCAGAGAATTACCTTAGCGGATGAACCGCAGGGTTTTCGCACAGGAAGATCGTGCACAGATGCAGTATTCATCATAAAACAGATTACCAAGAAAGCACTAGAGTATAACAGACCAGCATTCATATGTCTAATAGACCTGAAGAAAGCGTTCGATAAAGTAAAGCCTAAAGATGTAATTCACCTTCTTTACGATAGAGAAATTCCACTAGATGTTATAAAAACAATAGAGAACATTTACCAGAACAACAATATGGAAGTCAGAATAGATGACCAGCTTACAGATCCAATAGATATGGACAATGGAATAAGACAAGGAGGCTCGCTTAGTCCAACGCTATTCAATCTAATCATGGATGAAATCATCAATACTATTAATAAAGGAAGAGGATACAAAATGGGGAACAAAGAAATCAGAATACTCTACTATGCAGATGATGCGGCCCTAATTGCATCCAATGAAGACGATCTACAAAGACTAACCCATAGATTCAACACAAGGGCAAAGGACTTTAATATGGTGATCTCTACACAGAAAACTAAAACAATTGTAATCAGTAAAGAACCAATTAGATGTAAACTGGAAATCGACGGTATCAGCATTGAGCAAGTAATGGGGACAAATTATCTAGGAATTACACTGTCTAGCTACGGAGATGTGGAGAAGGAAGTGAAAAATCAAGTACAAAAGGCTAACAAAATAGCATGTTGTCTTAATAACACGATATGGCGCAATCCCCACATTAATAAGGACGTGAAATCGAGAATCTACAAAGCAACAATAAGACCAATAATGACATATACTTCAGAGACAAGACCGGATACCTCCAAAACTCAGCAACTACTAGAAACAGCGGAGATGCGTTTACTGAGGAGAATTACAGAAAACACACTGAGGGATCGAATGAGGAGTGAAGAGATTAGAAGAAAATGCAATATACCAGAAATAAATGAGTGGACACTGAACCGAAAAAAGGAATGGAACGAACACATAAACAGAATGGAAGAGACCCGATTAGTCAGAATAGCGAGGGACAAATCACCAAAAGGTAGAAGAAGTATCGGGCGACCACGCAAAAGATGGAGTGATAACCTCCAATAGAGGCATTAATGGACATTGAACAAGCATTTTGCTTATAAAAAAGAAGAAAAAGAAGAAGAAGTAGCTTTAATGTCGTCGATAGTAGGGCTATTGGTCTATAGTTCGTAGGGTTGTTATCATTTGGTTTCCCTGATTTTAATATGAAAATGATATGATCTTCGAGCATTTGAGTTACTGTGCTATGGTACCAGTCTTCATAATATCTGTGAAACAGTGGGCCATCCATTCTCCCACATATTTGCCGCTGTTAATTAAGAATTTGTGATGAATACTGTCAAAACTTGGGACTTTACCTGGCTTTACATTCTTGACAGCTATAGTGACTTCTTCGCAAGTGAAAGTGAGGGAGTATTCGGTTTTTGCGGATTGGAATTCTAAAGTCTTGAGTTCTCGTTTTACCTTGATTGTGGCTTCGTGGCTTGTCTTTCGGGGCCCTAGATGTCGATACCAGATGTGAGACAATAGTGTTTAAGTTAATTGTTGTTTTGTTCCTTATTATGGGAGTTCCGTTTCCTAATTTTCTAATCTCACACGACAATGTACAGTGGACGCCTATGCAGAAATGCACGGCACTTTAAAAAGAAGAAGAAAACTTTATTAGTTTTAGGTTAAACTGAACACAGGCTAACGTCATCTCTTTTTGTCGTTGGAACGGGTGTGTTTTTAGAGGTAGAGAACCTCTCTTTCTGGCATATTACCACCACGGCTGACTCTAACGTAGTCTAATCTGGAGGTTTATTTTGGCCATTTGTGGCCGTATATCGACAATGACGTGGCGAATGTTGTCCTCTAAGTGGTCAATCGTTTCAGGCAAATCGGCGTAGACTAGCGACTTCACATATCTCTAGAGAAAATAGTCTAGCGGTGTTAAATCGTACGATCTTGCAGGCCAATTCACGGGTTCGATATGTGAAACTATGCGGTAACCAAAATTTTCCTTTAATAACTCAACTGTAGCATAAGCTATGTGACATGTTGGTAAATGAAAATGCTTTATGAATGGAATGAGATCAATAGAAGGAACTAGTGGAGACCTATGCCCAAAAATACATAAAATAAGGAATTATAAAGAATTAGACAGACACAGGCAAACACAAATATCTTGCTAATCACAGATAATTGATTAATGCCCAAAAATACATAAAATAAGGAATTATAAAGAATTAGACAGACACAGGCAAATAAAAATATCTTGCTAATCACAGATAATTGATTATGATTAGGCTATTTTTCAAGAAACAATATTTGACAGAAATAGTTCTGAAAGAAAAAAAATGTGGATCAAAATGATCTCAGTATGTTCAGTTATAAAAATAAAAGTAATTTGTGTAGTCTTACCTAAACCAAATGGAATTAATCTCTCGTGGTAAATAAATTTTCCATCTGAGTCTAAAAATCTTTCTGGTCGAAACACTTCAGGATCTTTCCAGTATTCTTTATCGTTGTGGACGGAATATACACTAATTAGAACTGTGGTATCCTGCAAGTAAAATATTTTGGTTTAGTACCAAATTATTTTGGTCTTTGTTTCTTTTAAAACATTGTTTTTTAATCGCTAATGAAGCGCTTATGATAGGACGGTGATTGGACTGCGGCGCGCGGCATTTATGAGAAAGATAAACAAGATCTATGGCACAAATTTTGGCTGGTTTTGTGCAAATGAGCACTCACCCTATCATACGCACTTCATTAACAATTAAAAAACAATATTTTAAAACAAAATAAGCTCAGAATTCATCGGAAGCTGATAGAAGAAGGCTTGAACTTAAATTTAAGTACTTGATGATTTCAAAAGTGATATTTTTTACTTTGGTTTTTGATCCTTGAAAATCGACATTTTTAAATGATCGTAAACGATCAAATTCAGAAAAACTGGGTGACATCTTGAACCTTATTTTCGGATATCTAATGAAAGTGATTATGCAAAAAAATCTTGTGGGAATGTTTTTCCAAACGAACCCAAACTTTTCTCCTTGTCTATTAGTAAATAACTATTTTGAAAAATTCGATTCATTGATGTTTTATCTATCAATTAATTGGTAATTGATCATTAAACTTATCTACTAAAAATGCATACACGATTATAAATAATGAAGAGGCTACATTAAATTACAATGTACAATTACCATATGCCTAAGAAGCGTAATTATTTGTGAATAACACTAAACAACTAATTGGTGACAGTTTGAAAATCAAAATAAGAACAATTGGAGCCTTACCATTTTATGGGATATCCCATAAAATAGTAAAGCGTTATATATGTAAATCTGATGAAGGTAAATCATACTCCAAGGAGGATTTAAATTTAGCCATTAATGATGTTAAATGTCTACGACGTAATCCCTACAATGCTAGTAAGTCCTATAAGATACTTTTAAACATGATCATTGATCATGTTAATGGAAGAAGAGGCTCAAAGTCTGATTCATATGGAAGACCTATAGCTTTAGGTTTTCAGATAGAAAAACAAGTTTCTTTAGGATTCTCTCTCTTCAATCCTGACCCCCCAGGGGGAGTGTAGTGGTCGACGTGATGTCGTGTATTGTCCGTCTCCAGAGATCTCTGTCTCTGGTCATTTCTTTTAATTTATGCATAGGTCTTTGGCATATTCCTGTAATTTGATCTATCCATCTTGTTGGGGATCTTCCTCGTGATCTTCGGCCTTCTACCTTTCCTTGTATTATGAGTCTTTCCATGTTTTCTGTGTTTGCTCTCATAACATGCCCAAAATATTTTAATTGTTGGAGATGGACTTTACTAGAGAGTCGTTGGCTAACTTTTAGCTCTCTTAAAATTGAATTATTTGTTTTACGGTCGGTCCAAGGAATTCGTAACATTCGTCTCCAACAGAACATTTTAGTGGCGTCTATCTTTCTTCTCTCCGATTGTCTCAGAGTCCAAGATTCACATCCGTAGGTCAGTATTGGGAATATTAAGCAGTTGATGGATTTTAGGATTCAATCAAAGGAAAAATGCGGTTTTGGCTTATGTAGAAAACAAATAAAAAACCTAGTAGAAGAATATGTAAAATAAAATAAATTAAAAACTCCTTTTAAAGATGTACAACCTAACAAAGACTGGCTGATTTATTTTATGAGACTACATGGCCGTAACCTCAGGCGGTAGAACTTGCTCGCAAGAAATCGTGCGATCCGTTGATAATTAAAGGATATTTTAAATTACTGCAGGATACTATTCAAAAATTAGGAATATTAAATAATTCCCATTTGATCTTTAACTGTAATAAGACTAGTTTCTCTAAAGATCTTCCCAAAAGCAAAGTAATAAGTAGGTGCCAAAGAACTACGAGCACATCAGGAAAAGAAAATGTATGGAGTTTTATTAACAATTAGTACAAGTGGACCAAAGTTACCGCCTTTAGTTATATATAAAGGTAAAAATATTGAGGATCAATGGTGTGCACCAGAAGGTACAGGTTTTTCAGTAACAATGTATGCTACACCTTCTAACGGATCCATGGAAACTGCAGTATTTGAAAATTACTGCATTAACAGTTTTGTAAAAAAAATTAGGCAACGAAAGACCAGCACTCCTCATTTGAAACGGACATTGCGCTCATGTGGCACGAATACTAAGACTGATGTGGAAGGAAGTTCCAACTGGAAGAAAGGCAACGAAAAACCTGCAATCCTCATTTAAAACGGACATTGCGCTCATCTGTCAAGAACAGTAAGACTGGTGTGGAAGGAAGTCCCAACTGGAAGGGGACCACGCGAACGCCCTCGTCTCCGATGGCGAGATAATATAGCAGAAGATCTAAGCACTATGGGCGTGGAGAATTAGATGGAGGTTGCTCAAGACAGAAAACAGTGGAGGCATGTTGTCTAGTCGGCTAAAACCCACGAAGGGTTGTAACGCCACGAAGTAAGTAAGTAAGTAAGTATTTCGCTCATGTAGATGTAAAGGTTATTGAATTAGCCAGAATATATATACACAAGTAGCTAGGTGTTGTCCACAGGGGGAGTTTTATCTTCTCTCTTGTGAAATCTGGTCATTTATGGGCTGATAACTAGGCCATTTAGAACGTTTATTGAAACAGAAGTTTATAAAATGGAATGGAATGTAACCAGTATAAAAGTTTAAATATTAAAGTATGTAAGTTTAGATATGTCATACGATATGATTACCTACGTATCAAAAACTCTTAAATTAATTTTTTTTTTTTATTATTGAGTTAATGCCTCGACAACTAAGATCATTGGCATGGTACAGTCAGGTACCTAGTGTAGTGTGTGTGTGGGTGTGTGTGTGTGTGTGTGTGTGTGTGTGTGTGTGTGTGTGTGTGTGTGTGTGTGTGTGTGTGTGTGTGTGTGTGTAGAGTAATTGTCTTGATACTTAGCAAAGTCGACGTCATTGTCTTTGCTAAGAGACGCTAATTGTATCCGAACGACGGCGGTCCCTCCGGTGAGTACGGATGGCACAAAAATAGAAATTATTTTCATTTATTATTAAATTAATTAAATATACATAAACACTATAATTTGAGTTAATTAATTTTGATTAAAGAATTGTTTTTAACGTAGCAAGGACATACTCACTTTAGGAATGAAATAATTATCTAAATATGTATCTTTCAATACTCTTCTTGGTCCAGCTATTGGTGCTACGTGTCGAAATCTCAATATCTCGGATAATACTGCTTCTACGTAAGGAACCCTTAGGAAGAAAAAAATTAAAGAATTTTAGAAAAAAACCGATGTTTTGAGATAAAAAATTTCGTACCTGTGCCTCTCGGAGTAAGTAATTTCTTCATCTCGATCGAAAGCTTTTTGAAGACAATCACTTACTTTTTTTTGTACATCAGGATGCAAAATCATTAATTGGCAAGCAAAATCGACGGTATTGCTGGACGTTTGTGCTCCCCCTATGAAAAGATCTAGACATACCATAATCAGCTGATCCTCTGAAACGATAAATGTTGAATGTTGATGAGAAAAATTAAAAAATACTAGAAAATACAAAAATGAAGTAGGGTTTTGATTTTTTAACTTCTTTAATAGTTCCTTATATTATTATGCTAATATGTTTGTTTCAAAGTAATGTTTTATATTACAAATAGTTACTATCAGTTCATTATCCATATTCAATCAAGATCAATATTTTGTCTTTAAAGCCTACATCTGGCTTTTCTTCAATGTAAATCTGGCTTTGCAAAGGTAGGGAATAAAGGTAGGCAAAATACGCAATAATGCGTATTTTTGCCCTCTCATCACATGTCCCAAGTACTCAAGTTTTCGTATTTTATTAGTTAATATTATTTCCGTCTCATTTCCTATCCTTCTAGTTACTTCCATGTTTGACATTCTTTGAATCCATGATATTCGTAGGATTCTTCTGTAACACCAAAATTCAAAGGCGGCCAGCTTATTCAGATGAACTTGTTTTAGTGTCCAAGCTTCCAGACCATAAAGAAGAGTAGAGAACACGTAACATCGAAGCATTCTTAGGCGTAGTTCTAACCTTATATCCCGACAACAAAGAAACTTTTTAAGTTTAATTAATGATGTACGTGCTATTTCAATACATGTCCTAATTTCTTTGTTTTGGTCTACATCTGATGTTATCCATGTTCCTAAATATTTATAGTTATTAACATTCTCAATTGCAGTATCTTCAATAGTCAATTGGATATTTGCATGTGCAGATTTAGTTATGATCATGCATTTAGTTTTCTTTAAATTTATCTTCAGTCCGTACTCATGACAGCGTTCATTAAGGCGTTGCATTAGGTTCTGTAAATCATTGTTGTTATCCGTAATTATTACTGTATCGTCTGCAAAACGTAAGTTATTCAAAACTTCTCCATTGATAGATATACCTTCTATTGAGTCTGAGAGCGCTTCTTGAAATACCGCTTCACTGTAGACATTGAAAAGTAGTGGGGACAGCACGCAACCCTGGCGGACTCCTCTCTGTATTTTGATATTTTCGGTGTACTGGCTGTCAACTCTTGCCTTGGCAGTTTGATTCCAATATAAATTAGATATAATTTTCAGATTACGACTGTCAATATTTTTGCTTTTTAATATATCTACAAGCTTTTTATGTTGAACTTTATCAAATGCCTTTTCAAAGTCTACAAAACATAAGTACATATCCTGATTCATGTCCATGCATCTCTGAGCCAGCACATTCAAGCCGAACAAAGCATCTCTTGTACTCATACCATTTCTAAAGCCAAATTGTGTGTCACTAATCTCATATTCAAGAGTTTTAACAATTCTGCTGTGAATTATTTTCAAAAATGTTTTAAGTGTGTGACTCATTAAAGCTATTGTTCTGTGGTCTGAGCAAGTTGTTGAACTTGGTTTTTTGGGAATTGCTACAAAGGTTGATTGCAGCCATTGTCTGGGGATTGTGGCAGTCTGATATATTAGATTAAAGAGTTCAACCATTACATCAATAACATCTTCATCGATGAGTTTTAATAATTCGATGGGCACCTCATCTGGTCCAGTAGCTTTACCCTCTTTTGTGTTTTTGATGGCATAGATGACTTCTTCTCTTAATATTGGTGGTCCAGTATCATCGGTGATTTCTAATGACAGTTCTTCTCTTTCATCATTAAATAGTTGTTGAATGTAATTGGTCCAGTGACATAATATCTCCTTCATATCAGTAATAATATCCCCTTTATCATTTTTAAGGATATTCGATTTTGTACGCTTTCTAGAACCTGTCATTTCTTTGATTTTTTTTGTGTAAATTAAAGCTATCGTACTTTTTATCCAGATCTTCTATTTCCTTGCATCTATCGGAGAGCCACCTCTCTTTTGCCTCTCGAATTTTCTTTCTGATGTTTCTCTGAATTTCTTTGTATTTATTCAGGTCTTTTTCTTTATGTTTTCTTCGTTCTTCCATGAGTTCAAGAATTTCTACTGTCATCCAAGGTTTTGTTTTTTCTTTAAGTGGTTTGAGGGTTTCTTTTCCAACTGATACAAGGGCATGTTGAATTTTTTCCCCATTTTTGGTCAATAGTTAGAGTTTCTGCATTATCTTCTTTGACTTTCCTTAAGCTCTCGTTTATTTTAAATTTGGTTTCCACATATGTGTTGTCTTGTTTGAGACGTCTTGTATCTATGATTTTCTTGGTGCTAGGGCTGACAAAATGCTCATGTTTTCTTATTTTCTTAAGAAAATGCATCATCCACTTCCACATAAAAGTCAAAGAGAGATTTATTACTAAAATTTCTCTTGATTTTATTTGCGTGTAGTAAAGTCTATCAAAATTATTTTTTCTACATTTGAGATCTAGAAATGTATCCCTAACCCGCTTATAACTTGCTACCAATTTCTCGTCAGATAGAAAATAATTTTTAAAATTCTATGCAAATATGTTAAAGTAACTTTCTTCTTCTTTTTCTTTTTTCTTCTTGTATATAGGCTTTAAAGCATGTTTCTTTTTTAATATCAGCCGTCTAAATTGTTTAAATTATCACACCGCCTTTTTCTTGGTCTGCCAATACTTCTTCGTCCATTTGGTGACTTATCTTGTGCTATTCGTACTATCTTATCCTCTGCCATTCTACTAATGTGTTCGTTCCACTCCTGTTTCCGTTTTGTCACCCATCCATTTATGTCGTTTATATTGCATGCTCTTCTTATGTTTTCACTTCTCTCCATATCCAACAGACTTTTTCCTAATATTCGTCGGAGTAGTTTCATCTCTGTTGTTTCTAGTAGTCATCTCGTTTTAGATGTGTCAGGTCTTGTCTCCGCTATGTATAATGTAGATCTAATTGATACTTTATAGATTCTTGTTTTGTGTCTTGTCTTAGGTGTCAACTATCATATACTTTTCTTCTTTGTTGTATATTTTGACACAATCATTCATATTTGCAAACATTTCTAACTTTTTTGCTTCCTCATAGCTTCAACTTTCTACAAAAAAAAAACACTTACTTTATCACTGCTATTCAACCTATGTATGTTTGCTACTTAAAGTTGTAGATTTAAAGTATTTAATTTCTCGAATATGTCGACTAAACTTAGTTTTATCTCAAATAAATCATCTCAAAAATTTTCGGTTTTCGGGCTGTTCCTCTTTTAAAAAAGTGGCAATTTTCTCTCTTGGAGAAAGGTAGAAGATCGCTATAAAAATGGGTACTGAAAATTGGGTGGTTCCCGAATGAAAGGTTGAGAAACGCTGCACTAGGTGCTTAGTTTGTTCAGTTCGTATCATCTACATATTCATCTTTTTCATTTTTGGGTCTGTTCATACAATCGTAACGTTCTTTAAACTGCCTCAAAGTTGTATTTTGACATCGGAATTTCTGTTAATCTATGTAACATGATATGCTGCCAGTTTATGTTGTGTTGGATGGGATGATGACTTGTCTATAGTCGTGTCAGTATGGGTAGGTTTATGAAATACGGAGAAGTCATGTTTGTTTTTAAGCCTGATAATTTTTAAATCTAAAAAATTTATAGATTGATTTTGTTCTGTTTCTATTGTAAATTGAATATGACTATGAAGTGAATTAATATACCATAAAAATTGGTCGAGTTGCCTGTTAGTTCCTGTGAAACATACCAGTACGTCGTCTACGTATCTCCACCAATATAAAAACTGTTTAAATACGGAATGTTTCGAAATCTTTGTCTCTAGATGATCCATACAAATATCTGATAGCAATGGGCTTAGAGGATTGTCCATTATAAGTCCTGCTCTGTTATTTGTATATATTTGATTATTAAATTCAAAGTAGTCCTGGTTTAGTTTTCAGTATTTCAAAAAGTGTTTCGGTGTTTTAGTGTTTAAGAGTGTCAAAAAAACAAAGTTGTCAGTTTATTTTTCAGTTTACAGTTGTTTTATTGTTACATAAAATGAATTTCCATCAAGTAACGGTCGAATCCATCAATCAAATATTTAAACGAAATTTAACTAAAAATTAGTAAATACGATATAAAGAAGACTATGAAAAATAATAAAGCACCTAGATAAGGTAGCATATTTGCATAAATGCTAAAAAATGTCGAAAAGCTGATTAATACTCTCCATACTTATTATAAGTCAAATAATGGAGGGAAACAAGATCACTGGAAAAAATCCGCAACTATCTTTTAACTAAAAGGTATGTAGATCAGATCTGAAAATCGCAATATTATTCTAATATTAACTATGTTTTACCTGTGAATGTAGAATCCTTTCCATTTTGCTTTTTCATCTCAGTTATAAACGAGTAAATAAGATCATCGCTCCTACCTTCGTACCATGTAGAGTAGTGGTCTTGTATGAGAGTTAGCAAAAGCTCTTTTAATTCCTTATTAATTTGGGTAATTAAACTATATCCTGTCTTTTTGGGAGCTATGAATCTTAGCCAGGGAAATTTGTTGAGTAGCCCTCCGGACATATCAAATACGCGCGCCCTTTGGTCAAATAGATCCAAAATTCTAAAACGAGATGTTAAAAATTGCTTGATTAATAAAGATAAGTAGAACATGTTATTTATCTAAATTTACTTAATATGTAAAAAATTAGTAGTCTCACGAATATGACAGATATATTCTTCTTGAGATTTAAACAAAAAACAAACAATGACTAGCTAAAGCTATATGCAGATAAAGAACAAACAACCCTAGACCCGGAAAGCCTTTCCTGAATCCACTTTGTACGTCTCTAATTTATGTTCTATTTCATTTCTAATTTTCCTTTCTATTATGGTTTCGTATACTTTTGCTGCTACATATAGTAGGGATATACCTCTATAGTTCTTACAGTCTCTTGTGTTTCCTTTCTTGTATATAGGTATAATTACTGCATTTGTCCATTTTCTGGATATTACTTTTTTCTTCCATATTAGGTTATATATGTATAACAATTTTTCTTTTACTTTTACTCCTATATATTTCATCATTTCTTGTGCTACATCATCGCTTCCTAGTGCTTTTCCAATTTTTATCTTTCTTATTCCTTCTTTTAGTTCTTCTTTTTCTATAGTTTCTGGATTTTCTGTGTTTCTCATGGATACTCTCTTGATGTGGCTTTTTTCTCCTAGTCAGAAAACTACAGAGGTATAAACTTGTTAAATACTACGCTAAAACAGCTAAAATTATACAAGTGCTAATAAATCAGAGAATAAGTTTAGCAGATAAACAACAGGGTTTTCGTAGTGCAAGATCATGTGCAGATGCAATATTCGTTATAAATAAAATTACTGAGAAATTACTAGAGTCTAATAGACCAGCATTTCTGTATTATGTGTATAATTTCAAAGATGTAATCCATCCTCTGTATAATAGAAAGTTCCCCTAAATATTATAAAAAGTATCGAAAACATCTATTAAAATAACAAAATGGAAGTCAGAATAGATGAACAACTTACAGAACATATAGAAATAGGCAGCGGAATAAGACAACAGCCCCATACTCTTCAATTTTCTCTTTCTATTTGATCATGGATGAAATCATCAAAACCGTTAAAAAAGGAAGGGAATACAGAATGGGAAACAAAGATATTAAAATACTCTTTCACGCAGGTGACGCAATATTGATAGCGCAAGATAAAGATAATCTGCAAAGACTGGTCCCCAGATTTAACATAAGAGCAAAAGAATTTAATAATAATCTCAGAAAACCAAAACAATAGTATCCAGCAAAGAACAAACCAGATGTAAAATAGAAATTGATGGCATCAGTATTAAACAAGTAATGGAAATAAAATACCTGGGAAATAGACTGTCTAGCTATGGATACCTGGACAAAGAAGTGAAAGATCAAGTACAAAAAGCAAATAGACTGGCAGGATACCTTAATAATACTCTATGGCTAAACAGACACATAAACACTGAGATTAAATCAAGAATTTATAAAGCTAGTTTAATACTAATGACTAATGACATATGTCTCAGAAACAAGACCCGACACAGCCATAACGTAAAGTTTACTGGAAACGGGAGCGATGAGAGTACTGAGAATAATTACAGATAATACGCTGAGAGATCGAAAGAGAAGTGAAAGAAAATGTAACATGCAGCGTATAAATAAATAGACACAAAATAGAAAAAATAATGGAATAACCATATAAGCAGAATGGAGGAGACCCGTGTCGCCAAAATAGCAAGAGGTCAGTCAACAATCGGCAGAAGAAGTATCGGACGACCGCGCAAAAGACGGAGTGACAATCTTCCATAGAGGTATTAATCCGCAAATGAACAAGCAGAACTGCGTATAAAGAGGAAAAAGAAGAAGGAAAATAATGTTTAAACAAACTATTGAAAAATTGAAAAAGAGTAATGAATTAGTGTTCACCGAGCAGTATGCCATGTGCAACTATCCATCATCGTACTACTCATCTAGCGATCCAATTCTAAATTAAATTAGGCTTAAATTATGAATGTCATAATTTACGACTGCAAAGTATTTACTGTAATGAAATGCAAAACCTTTATAAACTAGGTTTTAATATACAAGAAATTAGCATTGTTTTGTTTGAATGAATAACATGACAATTACATATGACATTAACTAAAACTAAGATGACAAATGACAAACACAGTTCACAGACCACAGGACATTCACCCCAACTTTATTTTTGAACAAAGTCTTTAAGGTAAGCAGGAGTGTTTCTTTCCCTGGTACCTCTTCTAATAAGACTGTGTTTATTTTCTTCCTCTAAAACACTTTCAATATGACCTTGATCTTCCAGAATGTTAACAGGAGAAATATTTGGATTTTCCTCACATATACTCAATCTAGGGCTTGGTGGATCTTTGATAAACTGTTCATTAGAAACCGCAGATTCCGATCCACTAACACAGTCCAGAGATGCATCTCCTCGTGGTGCAAGTTGTCTTAAGGCTACTGTTGTTTCTTTACCATCTTCACGTCTAACAACAGCATAGTTTGGATTTGCTTCAATTAGCTGTACTTCTTCAACGAGGGGTTCATATTTGGACTGCCTCACATTTTTTTTCATAAATACTTTTCCGGGGGTTATCAACCATGAAGGAAGTGCAGCTCCATTTATAGCTTTTCTGGAATGATGAAACATTCGCTCATGAGGGGTACTGTTTGTAGATGTACACAAAAGAGAACGAATTGAATGAAGAGCTATCTCAACTACTTCTTCCCACTGTTCAGTTTTTAAATGTTTAGATTTTAATGCAAGAGAAATAGTTTTCCATATAATTCCATTATATCTTTCTGTCTGGCCATTTCCTTCAGGATTGTAAGATGTTGTTCGGCTTGTTGGTATTCCTTGTGAATGGAGAAATGTTTTGACTTCTTGAGACATAAATGCCCCCCCTTGGTCTGAATGGATATAACTAGGCATTCCAAATAAAGAGAATAAGTTTGTAAGACACTTCACAACAGTTTTCGCTGAAACATCTTGACATGGATATACAAAGGGGAATCGAGAATATTCATCAACAATTGTTAGGATATATTTGTTATGAGATCTAGATGGAAGCGGTCCTTTAAAATCCAGAGACAATCTTTCAAAAGGCGAAGTAGCTTTAATTAATCTCCCTTGAGTTTTCAAAAACTTTGGTTTTATTTCTGCACAGATAGGACAGCGATTGGTCATTTCACGGACTTCATCAATAGTATATGGTAAGTTGCGTGTCTTTATCCAATGGACCATTCTGGTGATTCCTGGATGACACAAGGATTGATGTAGTTCAAATAGACTTGGTCGAGGATTTATTGAACAGCTCACTCGTGAGAAAGTATCTGGCACTACATTCTCAACTCCTGGTCGGTACTGAATATCGAAACTGTAGCATGATAATTCAAGGCGCCATCTGATAATCTTCTCATTTTTTATCTTACTAGTGTGGCGCATATTGAACATAAAAGAGACAGACTTTTGATCAGTTATAAGTCGAAAATGTTTACCTATCAAGAAATGTCTCCATTTTCTAAGAGCTTCCACTATTGCATAAGCCTCTTTTTCCACTGATGAATGATTTCTTTCACTTTTTGATAAGGTTCTTGAAAAGAAAGCAACAGGTCTTCCTCCTTGGCTAAGAGAAGCAGCAATACAAAAATCTGAAGCATCAGATTCAACGATAAAAGGAATCTTGTCATCAATTGTAGTAACAGCTGAAGAAATAATTTCAGATTTAAGAATTTGGAAAGCTTCAGCTGCTTGTTCTGTTAAAGGAAAAGTATTGCATGTGACTAGTTTTTGTATCTTTTCTGAAAATTGTGGGATAAATTTGGAATAATGTGCAAACATTCCGACAGCTCTCTTTAGTGATTGTGAATCGTTTGGTAAGGGTAACTTCTTTAATGGTTCAAGTCTTTCAGGATCAGGTTTTAAGGTCTGATTTTCTATTTGATAACCCAAAAGTTTGATTGAATTTAGTGTATAAGAACTTTTATTTTGATTTATTGTTAGATTGTATTTCTTCGCTACTTCCATAAATTTATTAAGATTTTCATTATGTTGTTGTTGATTTAATCCACAAACCGTAATGTCATCAAGATATGCATACACACCTTTTAAATGTTCGGATTTAATAATACCATCGATAACCCTTTGAAAACAAGCCACTCCGTTGGTTACCCCAAAAGGAATCCGGCAAAATTGGTATAGTTGGCCGTTGGCTTCAAAAGCAGTGTATATTTTCTCTTCATTTTTAATTGGAATTTGATGGTATGCATTTTTAAGATCAATAGTACTGAAGACAGAATATCTTGCTACTTTTCTAACAATATCTTCAACATCTGGGAGAGGATAGGCATCTAAGTAAGTAAATTTATTAATTGTTTGTGAATAATCTACCACCATTCGCTTTTTGTGTGTTTCACTTTTTGTAATAAGTACTTGTGCACGCCAAGGAGAGTTGCTTTCTTCTATGATTCCATTCGATAGCAGATACTGTATCTCGTCAGATATGAATTTTCTATCTTCAGTTGAAAATTTTCTTGATTTAGTTGCCCTCGGTTTGCAATCATTTGATAGATTGGAGAATAATTTGGGTGGCTCTATATTTAAGTATGCCAAACTACAAATGTTATCTATATGATCAATAACTAAAGGCATTTTTGAGCCAGCAAAAGTGATTTCTAGAGAAGAATGTTGTTTAAGCAAGTCATGACCTATAACTACATCAGCACATAAATCTTGAATTATTGATAATTTGACATTTTTATATGAATGTTCGTTTATTTCTAAATTAACAAAGCAGTGTCCTGAGATAGTCGTTCTGAGTGCTGTTGAAGCCATTATTATGCTTGCATGACTTCTAAATGTTTTCACGTTTATAGACAATGCATAATTCTTACTGATATATGACTCAGAACTACCTGTGTCTATTAAACTTTCAGCTGTATTTCCATTCACCTTTATCTCAGTAACACTTTTAGATAAGCATTGAGGGGCAGCAGCAAGATTTCTAACATTCGAACTAGATGTAGTAGTAGCTAAAACAGCAGCTGATACTGAATTGGGCATCTGAAGCCTACATACCTTGGAAAAATGTCCAACTTTCGAGCATTTCTTACAAACTTTGTCTCTAGCAGGGCATAGGCTACGAGGATGCCTTTCAGTTGATCCACAAAAGTAACATTTCCAACTTTTCACAGCAGCAGAAGTATAATTAGTGTGCTCTCTGGTTTCAGAAGAAATTGCATTAATAATTTGTACAGGAGTTGTATAAGCCTCAGAGTGTTTTGAAGCTGACTCCAGAGACTGGGCTTTTACTATGGCATCTTGCAGAGTAATAGTGTTGTTTTCTAGTAAACGTTGTCTTATGTCATTAGAAAGAATGCCATTAATAAAAGAGTCTCTTATATAATCTTCTCTATTTTGGTCTGCAGAAACGGCTAGAAAATTACAGTCTTTGGAAAGCACTTTAAGATGTTGAACGTATTGACCTATATTTTCACCAGTTTGTTGTTTTTTTGTCATTAGGATATGTCTGGCAAAAATTTCATTTTTGGGTTTAACAAAAGCTGCTTCAAGAATACTTTTGGCTTCAGAATACTTTCTACAATCAGAGATGAGTTCATAGATATTGTTGCTCACGTAATTTACCAGTAGTTTGAATTTCTCCTCCTCTGAAACATCAATCACAGAGGAAATAAAGTTTTCAAAGGTAGCTTTCCAATGCATCCATTCTTGAGACGATCTAGGAGAGTTAGGATCAGCATCGAATCTGTCTGGTCGTAGTAGCTTATCCATATTTGATATTTCTTGTATATTAAATTGTAATGAAATGCAAAACCTTTATAAACTAGGTTTTAATATACAAGAAATTAGCATTGTTTTGTTTGAATGAATAACATGACAATTACATATGACATTAACTAAAACTAAGATGACAAATGACAAACACAGTTCACAGACCACAGGACATTTACGTCAGTTAATTAAGTCATAATGATACAGGTACAATATCGCAAACTGTTCCAAATGTGATACACCTCGGTATACCCAAGAAATGTAAAACCGCAGTAGAAAGAAGAATTTAGAAAAAGACATAAGACGTAATTATATGGGGGAGCCCCATCGGATACAGGATACAGGGGGGAGCAATGTTGCGAAGAGTTGAGAAAGTTGAGAAGGTTGAGTAAACCCAGTTTTATCAAAGCTCAACCAAAAATCAAAACAAAGAAAAGATAGAACATTCATATGTGCAACGTGGAATATACAAATATGAAACAAAAAGGCAACGAAAGTGATCAAGAAGTTTAGAGAAAGCAACATCGACATACTAGTAACAACAAAAACCAAAAAGTAAGGAAATGGAACGAAAACAATAGAAGACCATATTCACTGCTGGAGCGAAAATACTAATCAAAAATAAGTGGAAAAACAGGGTTAGAACATGGGAGCCAATCAATGAGAGAATAATTAAAATGCATATAGACATATACGGTAAAGAAATAGTGATTATAGGAGTATATGCACCAACAGATAATTCCCCGAGAGTAGAAAAAGAACATTTCACGGAACAACTCCAACATCAAATAGAGCTAATTAAAAAGAACGTGGAGATAATAATAACAGGAGACCTTAACAGCAGAACCGGAAGGAAAGAAAACGATAAAGTAGTGAGACGATTTGGAGAGGATGAACAAAACGATAACGGAGAACATCTGATTGAATTATGCGAACTAAACAACCTAAAATTACCAAAGGATTGTTCAGACATAAAAATATTTATTAATATATATATATATATATATAAATATATATATATATATATATATATATATGTATATATATATATATATATATGTATATATATATACATAATTATATAAACATTAGAAAATATGAAACAACATATATAATAGACCCTTAGACATATATAAAACTGTCACATAATGCAAGAACATTAAAAAAATCAAATATATGTAATATTTAAAGAGTTAAAAACGGGCAAACAATGCCCTCCTTAATCTACCATATTATTTTTAACATTTAATAATTTAAAATTCACCTTTTTAATCTCGAATCATTGCGATCTAGCCTGGAGCCAGCCATCAGCGCCCACAATACATTTAACACAGAAAATGCTAAAATAGATCCAATTCGAATCTCTTGATTTTCTTTTTCTTTTATGACATCTATAAGCACGGAAACTTCTTCGCGTATTAGTCTCTCCATCGGTTTTTTTCCGTATCCGAGACTTCGAAGATGGCTAGTAACAAAAGCTCTTTGCGTCTTCCAATAAGGCCCGTCGGTGATTGTTATACCTAAAATGAATTAATGGTCAACCGTAAAAAACCATTTAATTGTTACAGTACATACGTACCTCGTCGAGTCCCCATACATCTTAATCTAAGAAAATATCCATCGGGTCTTCCTTCGTATTCTTCCGATGTTAAAATAGTTTTTACTAGAGGGTACGACAAGACAACGATCACATTCTCCTTGCCAAATTTCAGCCCCAGAACGTTGGTGTTGTACATTTCAGCCAACTTCGAATACCCCACGTGTGCTCCACCATAAGCTTTTGCCACCTTCTTTACAGCTGATACGGATCCAATAATCGGGTACCATATTGGACCTGAAAAACAAATGCTAAATGTTAAATCCAATCTACAAAATTAAGCCAAACCAGAAGGAAACATTTTTGCGTGGAAATAGAATTTAATCCAATACAAAATATTAAGAACAATACATCCATCCATCCATCCAAGAAACATCCATCAAGACGCCGGACTAACATGTCAAAAATGATATTAAAAGGTCGCGAAAAAACATAACAAACTTAAAGTGCATCAGAATGTGTTTTTTTTTTGACTTTTTTTACTTTTTTATTAATTTTTTATTTATTTATTTTTTATTTATTTATTTTTTTTTATTTATTAATTTTTTTATTACTACGCTAAGACATAAACCCGATTCGACACCTCGAAGGTTTAGATCTTCTTAGTAACTTTTTTTTTATTTTATTTTTTTTTCTTTTGTTCTTTATTTTTTTTATTCTATATTATATTTTTTATCGTTTTTTTTTTGTCAGAGCTTTAATTTTAAGCAATTAATATGACTATATAAAATTTTATATACATCTAGATTCTTTGACTGTAAAAGATGTGTTAGATTAGAAGGTAATTGAACATTAACTTGAACTAGCTTGGTAAAAAAATTTGATATTTCAATAAAATGTAAAGGACATTCTAACAGCATATGTTGTAAATCAGCTAGCTGTCCACATATACATTCATTATTATTTGCCAGTCCCACTTGTTTTTTGTAGACCGGAGTCATACAATGATTGCTTCTTATTCTACAAATAGTTTTGATGAAGCCTCTGTTGGAAACTTGTTTAAACCATGTTTTGACGGAAATTGTGGGTTGAATTATTTTATAAAATTTCCGTTTGTCTGAATTGTTGTAGTGTTCCTGCCATTTTGTCCGTTTGACAGACCTGATTACAGATATTAAATCTCTCATAGGAAGTTTATAGGTTTGCAGAGTGGATTCTTTCGTTGTCGCTTTTTTAGCCAGATCATCTACTAGTTCGAAGGTTAAAACAAAAGTTTCCCTTAGAAGTAATTGATTAAACTAAAGGTGTATAAATATGTATCAAATATAGTCGATATTCAAGACTAAGTTTAAACTGGAATAAAAATGAAACACAATCAGAAAGAAACATTATATCTACAACACAGAAAATCACCATGAGGGGACATAATGCCGAACAAACTCCTGAAGTACGGAGGACCAAATTTGACCAAACAACTCTTAAAACTAATCCAAAAAATAAAAGTACAAAAAGAATTTCTCAATGAAGATTAAGAATACCTCTCTCCAAAAAGGGAAACAAATCGAACTCGTAAAATTACAGAGTATATAAATGATAATAGAACAAGTGATAGAGTTTAAATATCTAATATCTAGGCATCACATTATCTAGCTATGGAAAGCTCGAAACCGAAGTGGAAGATCAAGTGAATAGAGCAAATAGAGCCGTATGTTGCCTGAATGAAACAATATATAGAAATAAAAATATCGGGAAGACATGGAAAGCTGAATTTGCAAAACAGTCATCAAACCAATAACGACATACGTGACAGAAACACGACCTGACACAAAAGAGACCAAAGGGATGTTAGAAACAGCAGAGATAAAAACACTTTTAGTGAGAAAAATGTATGGTAAATCACTGTGGGACAGAGCTAGAAGTACAAAAGAACTGGGTAAGAAATAGAAAAGTAGAATAGAACCATCATATAAGACGAATGACAACAAATAAAGTAGTAAAGACAGTAAGGACAAGCAAGAACAGTTCCCCAATAGGAAGACGATCAGTAGGAAGACCACGAAAACGATGGAACGACAACGTTCTGCAGGTATATTGAAAAACTTCTTCTTCTTAAAGTTCCATCTCCTATCGGAGGTTGGATATCATAACGGCTATGGTCACTTTGTTGGCTGCTGCTCTGAAATGTTGTAGTGAACTACAGTTAAACCATTCTCTAAGGTTCCTCAGCCAAGAGATGCGTCTTCTTCCTATGCTTCTTTTTCCTTGGATCCTTCCTTGCATAATAATTCTCAGCAGCTCATATTTTTCTCCTCTGGTTATGTGACCCAAGTACTGTAGTTTTCTTCTTTTTATGCTGTTCATAATTTCTAACTCCTTATTTAGACGTCGTAGTATCTCAGCATTGGTAATCCTTTGAACTCACTGTTCTTCTGTAACACCACATTTCGAACGCTTCTATTTTTCTTATGTGTTGTTTCTTCAATGTCCAAGCTTCCATTCCGTATAGTAAGATAGAACATATGTAACATCTTAGAGCCCTCAATCTGAGATGCAACTAAAGGTCTCTGTTAATAAGCATTGTCTTCATTTTTACAAATGCTTGCCTTGCAGTTTCAATTCGGACTTTGATTTCTCTGCTTTGGTCATTTTTGTCATCAACCCAGGTTCCCAGATATCTGTATGTCTCTACTTTTTCTATTTGGGTTGGCTTTATCATTAATCTTTCATTTCCATGTTGCGTTTTTGAAACAATCATAAATTTAGTTTTTCTCCTATTTATTTTTATTCCGTATCTAATGCAATAATTATAAATTCTATTTTGAAAACATTGAAAAACATGTCTATATAAAAAGAGTCATATCTATATAAAAAGAAGAAAAATAAGAAGTTGTAAGGCTAGGCGCATACACATCGAATTTGGACGGTCGATAAAAGTTCGACCGAACTTTTGTCGATGATGCCTTGCGCGCACACTACACAATATTTATTCGATGACGTTTTTTAATCCACAAAGGTTTGTTAGGTGGAGTACACAAAATCACAATGAGCAACAAAGACCCACGTAGCAACACGGAGCGACGTACCTTAAGCAGTGTCAAAAAACGCAACTGGTCCTCTGGTCGGTCGATAAAGATCGATGTGTGTGCGCGCACGTTCATTTGATACTATACGCCTTGGAACGACGGCAACGACTACGGCAGCCGTGAATGCAGTGACATTCATCGATCGCCACACGACCATCACACGGCATCGATGCCGTGCCGTTTGGCGATCGATGTGTGTGGTCGCTCACATTTGTTTCTTCGCTCCACCAAAGGAATTTGTTCGACCGAACTTTTATCGACCGTCCAAATTCAATGTGTGTGCGGCGGGCGTTACGGTTTGCATCGCCTCGATACCGTCAGCACTTCGTAGTCACGCATCCCTATCAGAAGTTTCTCTTCGATCGATGTGCGCTAGAGGAGATGAAAATCCTTCGACCGTACAAAAGAGCAGCAGGCCGCAAGAGAAAGCAGGATTCTGTCGTAGTATTGATCTGACAGCAACTCCACTGGCTCTAGGGTATAGACTGAAGGTTAACTGCTTCTACACTCTCCGTTCCTCGCCGGACCGAGTGTTGATTGGCCCGTTCCATCTTTATTCCTTTTACCCGTTCCCGACCGACTGTATACTGGGTGTAAGTGTATTAACACAGCAAATATTAAACAGTGGTCATACCACCGTGGACACCGTCGTCGCCAGGATTGACGTTTAAATTTTTATAAATCATAGTACCATTTGCGTCATAAAAAACTGGTACAACTCTTATAACCGAAAATCGTGTTTTTCAAGTTGTGTAATTTGATCTTGTCACATATGTCATTCTAATTTCTAGGTTAACGTTGCCAGTTCAACGAGACATTGTATCAATTCAGCTAAAAGGAGGGCTGTACGACAGACACATTATAAAATTATAGTAGATGCATTCCAATGTTCCCTGTGCTAATACTCTACGTTTAAAGATCCTTTAAACATTTTGGGCATTAAGGCAACCCTCTCTCTGATTTTTTGTTGTTAATGATAATAATAATACCTATTAATGGGAGAGATTAACATCACTGACTTTGTTAAAAATATCTTTTAAATATACCAATGTAATTAACCAATGCTCACTACACAATCGATCACCCAAGGCAAAATTGTTGTCAATTAGGAAGGTTTTAACTTCAGCTCTCATTTCGAAGAGTCTAGCTAAAAATTTGCCGGGAGAAAGCCATCTTACTTCCGTATGAAGAAGTAACGACATACTGCCCATATCATCGCACATCACGCCAGCTTTGAATTCAGTGGTCGTAGTTTGATAAACTTAATTATCTTTACGGTTTCGTACAAGGCTACTTTTAAGGAAGGCGGCATTTTTTACAGCGAGGCTATGGCGGTTGGAGATACAGTGGCTACTGCTGCATTCCGTAGCTTTTTTCTTTATTCTTGAAATGTCACCCGAAGTTCTTCCAGTCATCGCCTTCACGCCGTCTATGCAACGCCCTAGTTATCCCAGGGAATGCTATTGCCTGTGAAAAGTTTTTCTATTAACTTGAAAATTTCGGCACCAGTTGTCAATGATATGCAAAAAAGTAGATCCTCTTGAAAATACTGTGTGCTGGTACCGCACACATGCTATTTAAATTGCCAACCCAGCTACATTATTTGACTCATCTATTTGCGGTGAAAACTTGATAGATTTTATTGCTTCAGCAACGCGATAACTGACTAAGTAGGACGCCATTGAAGCATTTTCGTTAACTGCTTTTAAATAGTAGTTTTAGTTTTTTGGACATGTGTCAGTTCGCCGTGCTTCCTTCTGAAGAAATCAGTAGGTATTCCAATACATTCTGGATGGATTTTTTAAAAATGACGATGCATTTTAGTTTTATAGACGAAGTTGTTCAACAGACAATATTTTTCAAACTTTGTACATTAAAACTTCAGTGCTTGGTCTTTCAAATGCCGCTAATTACATTTTTTAATTGTTATAAACAAACAAACCTATGAATTAAACAAAGAGTTTTGATTTTTAACTATTCCCAAAATTTAAAAGTTCAACATGTCATTAAATTATTAAGAATATTGAATAATTTGTTAAAATTTTTATGAAACTTCTCGTTTAAAATAATTTGATATAAATACAATTATAATTTTAAATATCCTAATTAGTTTAATAAGAATTAAAATTACTATCAAATTATCTTTATTTTTATTTTATTATCAATTTATTATTTCGTCTGAATTTGACAGACAGGTCTGTCAGAAGTAAATAA